ACAGAGAGAGTTGGCTGGTCTTCTTCACACATCACAGTGGTTGCCATTTTGACAGGACCCATCAACTGAACAATGTCATCCATGTTGGCAATATCACTCTCACTCAGCGTGCCTACATCTGTGACCCCCTTTCGTAGATCCTTGGACATCAGAGTTGCCATTATAGCTGGCTGTTGTTCCAAAAAACGTTCAAGCATTTTGAATGAACTGTTCCATCTGGTGATTATGTCTTGGATCAGTTTATGTTTTGGTAAATCCATCAGAGTTTGTTTTTCCTGTAGGGCGTGACATGCAATCGGGCTGCGGTGAAAATATCCAACAATTTTTCGCACTTTCCCCAACAACCTGGAAGCACGGTCCACCCCCAAACCCTTCTGCGAGGCAAGGTTGAGTGTATGTGCGAAGCAGGTAATGTGTGGACTGAACTGGGCTTCTGCACCGGCCACAATCATATTCCTGGCGTTATCTGTGACGATGGCAGGATTCTTGTCGTAGATTTTCCACTCCATGCAGGCTTCACGCAGTAACGCGCCAATATTTTTACCAGTATGGGCTTCATTTAAAACTCTGGTTAGCAGAACAAAGGTCTTCATTTTCCACTCCGGATCAATGTGATGAGAGGTAATTGTCACATACCCTTGATTTGAGCATGACGTCCAGCCATCTGTCGTTATCGCTACTCGTTCAGCTTGAGAAAGCGACAGCTTCACATCATTCTTAGTACTTTCGTACAATGCAGGAATAACCTTTTCTGAGAAGTGTGGTCGGCTTGGTATTGTGTACCTTGGCTCCAATTTTTGAATCATTTCACGGAATCCCGGATTTTCAACCACACTGTAGGGTCGCATGTCTTTCCAGATAAACTTGGCAATTGTTGCCGTGATGTTTTTCGCCCGAGCTGAGTTTTGGCCTAGTCTCTGACTAAACATGCAGGCGAGACCTGAGGCTTCTGCAGAGTTGACTTTACCTTTCGCTGCTGTAGCAGCGGGAACGCTGCAAGAGGTGCCTGGACGGTCGGTGTTGTGTGAAATCCCATGGCGCCTTAGTAGGTGGTTGGAGAGATTTGTCGTGTTGCCGTTGTACTTTACTTGACCTTTACATATCCTACAAACAGCGAGCGACTTATTTAGAACATCTCCGTCTTTGCAAAAGCCAAAGTGTTTCCACACACTGGACCGCAATGGTGGCTTGATAATTTCTCGCTCGTCGGCTTCTCCTCTGTAGTCCGCCATGTTATGGTTGTCTTTGCGCCTTTGCGCTGCTGTTGGCGCGATGACGTCACGGATAGGCAGACTGAATCGAGTAATGTTTAAAGCCTTTATCATTAAAAGTGCTAAGAAAAAACATCCATATAAAGTCTGACGTGCTTAAATCCAATGGGTTATTTCCTAGTATCGATACAATCGATTTATTACATTTTAAAACAATGTTAGATCGATATATGTTGTCCAAAAGGCCAACTCGCCGAGCACAGATCGATGTAGTTGGATCATAGGAATATAAATCGATACATCGATGTAGTAGATGGATCGTTACACCCCTAATAATTAAAGAAATGCACACATTTTTGCCACGAATATATAGTCCATATATTTAGCTTTTTAATTGAACCATGTGTAGTACATCTAAAAGAGACAATGAGAAATTCATGGTTCAACAAGACAACATAGCCATCAAAAGGGTAGAAATTTAGCATTGCACTTATGTCACAGTACTTTACTGCTTTGATTGGATACATAGAATATATGACAAAGGGTGATGTAATTATCTGAATTACTGTAGATTTTAATAGTTTAATCAAGAGTGAAGTATGGTTATAAGTCCAATGTGAAGATCTCAATTTAGGATTTCTTTATGGAGGAGGTGTTATTCATATACCATTCTCACACTAAATAATCAATATATTATACTGAACAAAAATATAAATGCAACATGTAAAGTGTTGGTCCCATGTTTCATGAGCTGAAATAAAAGATCCCAGAAATTCTCCATTCGCACAAAAACCTTATTTCTCTCAGATTTGGTGCACCAATTTGTTTACATCCCTGTTAGTGAGTATTTCTCCTTTGCCAAGATAATCCATCCGCCTGACAGGTGTGGCATATCAAGAAGCTGAATAAACAGCACACCTTGTGCCACACGACACAATGTCACAGATGTCTCAAGTTTTGAGGGAGCATGCAGTTGGCATGCTGACTGCAGGAATGGCCACCAGAGCTGTTGCAAGAGAATTTTATGTTCATTTCTCTACAATAAGCCGCCTCCAATGTCGTTTTAGAGAATTTGGCCGTAAGTGCAACTGGCCTCACAACCGCAGACCACGTGTAAGCACGCCAGCCCAGGACCTCCACATCCAGCTTCTTCACCTGCGGGATCGTCTGAGATCAGACACCTGGATAGCTGATGAAACTGTGAGATTGCACAACTGAAGAATTTCTGCACAAACTGTAAGAAAAAGTTGCAGGGAAGCCCATCTGCGTGCTCGTTGTACTCACCAGGGTCTTGACCTGACTGCAGTTCGGCATCGTAACTGACTTCAGTGGGCAAATGCTCAACTTCGATGGCCCCTGGCATGCTGAATAAGTGTGCTCTTCACGGATGAATCTCGCGTCACTTTGCCGAGTGGTTTGTTGATGTCAATGTTGTGAACAGAGTGCCCCATGGTGGCAGTGGGATTACGGTATGGGCAGGCATACGCTACGGACAACAAACACAATTGCATTTTATCGATGGCAATTTGAATGCACAGAGATACCGTGACGAGATCCTGAGGCCCATTGTTGTGCCATTCAACTGCCGCCATCACCTCATATTTCAGCATGATAATGCACAGTCCCATGTCGCAAGGATCTGTACACAATTCCTGGAAGCTGAAAATGTCACAATTCTTCCATGGCCTGCATATTCACAAGACATCTCACACATTGAGCATGTTTGGAATGCTCTGGATCGACGTGCATGACAGCGTTTTTCAGTTCCTGCCAGTATCCAGCAACTTCGCAAAACCATCGAAGAGGAGTGGGACAACATTCTACAGGCCTCAATCAACAGCTTGATCAACTCTATGCTAAGGAGATGTGTCCCGCTGCATGAGGCAAATGGTGGTCACACCAGATACTGACTGGCTTTCTGATCCATGCACCTATCTTTATTTAAAAAGGTATCTGTGACCAACAGATGCACATCTGTATTCCCAGTCATGTGAAATCCATAGATTAGGGCCTAAAGAATATATTTTAATTGACTGATTTCCTTATATGAACTGTAACTCAGTAAAATCTTTGAAATTGTTGCGTTCATATTTTTGTTCAGTGTAGATACAGTGGGGAGAACAAGTATTTGATACACTGCCGATTTTGCAGGTTTTCCTACTTAAAAAGCATGTAGAGGTCTGTAATTTAAAAAAAATTCCCAGAAAATCACATTGTATGATTTTTAAGTAATTAATTTGCATTTTATTGCATGACATAAGTATTTGATACATCAGAAAAGCAGAACTTAATATTTGGTACAGAAACCTTTGTTTGCAATTACAGAGATCATACGTTTCCTGTAGGTCTTGACCAGGTTTGCACACACTGCAGCAGGGATTTTGGCCCACTCCTCCATACAGACCTTCTCCAGATCCTTCAGGTTTCGGGGCTGTCGCTGGGCAATACGGACTTTCAGCTCCCTCCAAAGATTTTCTATTAGGTTCAGGTCTGGAGACTGGCTAGGCCACTCCAGGACCTTGAGATGCTTCTTACGGAGCCACTCCTTAGTTGCCCTGGCTGTGTGTTTCGGGTCGTTGTCATGCTGGAAGACCCAGCCACGACCCATCTTCAATGCTCTTACTGAGGGAAGGAGGTTGTTGGCCAAGATCTCGCGATACATGGCCCCATCCATCCTCCCCTCAATACGGTGCAGTCGTCCTGTCCCCTTTGCAGAAAAGCATCCCCAAAGAATGATGTTTCCACCTCCATGCTTCACGGTTGGGATGGTGTTCTTGGGGTTGTACTCATCCTTCTTCTTCCTCCAAACACGGCGAGTGGAGTTTAGACCAAAAAGCTCTATTTTTGTCTCATCAGACCACATGACCTTCTTCCATTCCTCCTCTGGATCATCCAGATTGTCATTGGCAAACTTTAGACGGGCCTGGACATGTGCTGGCTTGAGCAGGGGGACCTTGCGTGCACTGCAGGATTTTAATCCATGACGGCGTAGTGTGTTACTAATGGTTTTCTTGAGACTGTGGTCCCAGCTCTCTTCAGGTCATTGACCAGGTCCTGCTGTGTAGTTCTGGGCTGATCCCTCACCTTCCTCATGATCATTGATGCCCCACGAGGTGAGATCTTGCATGGAGCATGAACTTCATCCATTTTCTAATAATTGCGCCAACAGTTGTTGCCTTCTCACCAAGCTGCTTGCCTATTGTCCTGTAGCCCATCCCAGCCTTGTGCAGGTCTACAATTTTATCCCTGATGTCCTTACACAGCTCTCTGGTCTTGGCCATTGTGGAGAGATTGGAGTCTGTTTGATTGAGTGTGTGGACAGGTGTCTTTTATACAGGTAACGAGTTCAAACAGGTGCAGTTAATACAGATAATGAGTGGAGAACAGGAGGGCTTCTTAAAGAAAAACTAACAGGTATGTGAGAGCCGGAATTCTTACTGGTTGGTAGGATATCAAATACTTATGTCATGCAATAAAATGCAAATTAATTACTTAAAAATCATACAATGTGATTTTCTGGATTTTTGTTTTAGATTCCGTCTCTCACAGTTGAAGTGTACCTATGATAAAAAATGACAGACCTCTACATGCTTTGTAAGTAGGAAAACCTGCAAAATCGCCAGTGTATCAAATACTTGTTCTCCCCACTGTACATACTATTTATACACATATTGCCAGATTATTGCTATCAACTGCTGGTTGCAAGGTATATTACCCCGTTTGTATCTTTTGGAACAATGGTAGTCAAGTTTATAAAAATGATGTAGAATAGATGGGCTACCACAGGTGTCACAGGCATCCACAGGTCTTGACCACCATGTTGTGATGCTTCTTTAGGATCACATTGTTGTTGTCGTCACAAAAGAGTACGGAGATGGGACTGAGCTTGGTGGGTGCGCAGCACGCTTTGGGAACCTCGTCCGGCTTCAGAAGGTGAACCTGCCATGAAAAAAGGTCAATCAGACTTATTCATACATGCACTTTTATATAATCAATGATACTATCCTGTTTATAAAAGAGATACGGATTATTATTATGCAGATACTTCAGTGCTCTCCTACCTCAGTGGGCTGTGGCTTTGCCCCCCTTGTCTGAATTTGGTCAATATATTTTAAACCGGGTTGTCTGTGCGCCACAATACTTTATTATCCACTGAGCCAAAGCCTAGACTTTCAGAAGTTCAACAACAACAACAACTTCCATGAAACATGCTAAAACATGTCAATGGGCCATTGACCTAGCTAGTGACTTAAAAATAACATTTGGTGTTTTTGTTTTATATTATACCAACAACATAGGAAATCCTCTGGTGACAAAATAGGGTCAATAGAATTAGAATGATGACTAGGAATGGCATTTTTATAGAATTCTAATGGTAACCATAGAGTTCCAAACTCATGGAATGGAATTTTTATAGAATTCTAATGGTAACCATAGAGTTCCAAACTCATTTCTATGGCAACACAGCTGTCCATTTTGTAAACAACAATTTTCCAAAATATGTGTTGCCAAGAGACATCTAACCGATAGAACATCTCGGCGTTCTATTGAACGTTTTCTGTTCGAAAACAACAATAACTTCAGTTTGCTGTTCAACAACAACAAACTTGACTGATTTTTGAGACCTGAGACTGAAAAATCGGCTGGAAAATGCCTGGGTGCTTTTCAAAATTGATGGAGAGAGTGCGTGGACGTCGGCGGTCTACTGCGTCGACAGGTTGTTCAAATTCATTTGTGGGTTGTTTTTGTTGTCTTTTTCCGTTTTGCAGGGTTCGCAATCGTCGGGAGGTGGACAGCGACATCGACTTCGAAGAGGGTATGTTGAGTTTAAACTTATTTTACCACATTTAACAATATAAATGTAATTTGTGAAATGTTGTGTATTTCTGTAATCCATACTTGCAAGCTAACGTTAACTTTAGTAACTTTTGCTAAGAGATGCACTTTTGAACTAGTAGTACTGGCTAGCTCGCTACGTTTTACATCCTAACATTTGTTTGTTTGTATTCCAATGTTCCTAATTTTAGAATCAACTGTCCTGGATGTGGTCCAGTTGGTTGTGCCATTGGATGATGTGCCGGATGTACCACTGCTGCCAGCCATCCTTGAGGAGGTGCCAGATGTGCCGACTATCCTTGAGGTACAATTTTCAGAAAGTTTGAAAAGTATCCCAGATATTCAATTTGTGTCACTTTGACATTCTAAAAATCGTTGTTGTCTGCTTTCTGCTTTAGGAGGCCACTGGTAATTGGCAGTTGATACCGATTAGGTTTAGCTCCCTGTACTGTGGGCCTGTTGTGATCAGGGTAAGCGACCCACACACACAGTCACATCACTGTTGCAGTGTTTGCTGTTTCTAACCTGAATGTATTGTAATGTCAACCCCCTCTTGTGCAGAACAATGCCGGTCCGGTGGCTGAAGCTTGGAGAACTTTCCAGTTCATCAGCCCCATTATCACCTACATGCGTGGGGGATCCCAGGTATGTGTCTTTGTCACTACCTAATCCTAATCTACATTGTCAGTGTCATGTGATCTTGATGGAAATATGTTACAGCGATGGCTGATATTGTTTTGTTGATGTTGTCTTGTTGTTTCACTCCACAGCAGGTGGTGGTGAGGATGCACCATGCGAGTAGGGTTCGAGGCCTGGAGACTCAACTGGTGTGGGCCATCTCCAAGGAGACACACAGACTTAGTCCAGAGGGCATCCCCTACTGTGCCACCAAGGTGCAGTCCATCTCTTGGATCCAGGTAAGATGTAAATACTACTGAATTAGTATTAGATTAGGCTTTTCTTCACTTACTCCATTTGGCCTTAACATGTCGTTTCTCTCTGTCAGTATGTGGCTGGCAGGGTGACCCAGTATGCGTCTCACCTCCGCCACGAGACGTCTGTGGCCGTGACGCTTGGCTGCTACCAGGTAAATAAACAATTTCCTATGTATATAGAATAGAAATTACAGGGCATTTTCCATTAGATACGGTCTGTTTTCTATTAACGTGTGTTGTGTGTGTGTGTTTTGAGCAGCAAACTGATGTCTCGGTGGCGTACGCCACTCTCCACATGGGGCTGGATGGGCTGCTCTCCTCCTCGGCGTGGTCGGAGGCTGCCTCCGTCTCTACGCCCACCACTCAGCAGTTCACTGAGCCAGAGCCTGAGGGCCACAACTGCTATGAGGTCAGATGTTACACACTCACATACACATACTATTGACTAGTAGCATTAAGATCCTTCGATTGACCCATTGTTTGTCATGTCATTACATTGGTCACTGATGTTGAATGTTTGTTCTGTTGTTGTAGGGCTGGGAGGAGGACCTGCTGCCTGAGGAGAGGGAGGTTCCTCTGCTAAAGTGAGTCCCTCTAAATGTGTGTGTAGCCTGGGCTTGTCAGATGCTGAAGGATAGTGGTCACAATGCTGTTATCCCCCATTGACAGTACTGGTTGACAAACTCCATTCCCTCTCTTCCACAGCCTCTACCTTACCACCAAGAGAGTGGAGGACATCGGCCTGAGGCTCATCTCCCTGCGCCAGGCCTTTACTGTGAGTGGACCCACTTTTCTTTGACTCTCTGTGTCTTCCTGTTCTGTCTGTCTCCTAGAGGAAGATGGGTGTCTCACCCTAACTCTTCCCTCTTCTCTAGACCCTGCTCGGTTCCACCCTGAGCAGGAACCATCTGTTTGTGGCGGGAAAGGTCCTACTGGGCGCACTGGTTCAGGTCCACCAGATGGTAGCTCACTAACTCATTGTCCTTCAAGGGAAAGAGAGCGTCCTCGTGGGAAATGTGTTCTGTGCACTAACATCACTGCTCTTTGCTTTGTGATAGGATGAGGCCGAATTCATCCGTGCCTATAACGACTTTGTGAACTACCTGAGTGACCCCTCCAAGCAGATTGACATTGAGAGGGAGCTGGCTGAGGCAAAGGTGAGTTCATTAACTCTTTCAAGTCTCACTTTGAGTTCTTCCACATGCATGTCTTTTATACGGAACAGTAGCTGATCTATTTGAAATCATTCCTATTTTCTCCAAACGTGTTTTCTTGTCCTAGATCCATCATGTTAACCTGATAGACGTCCTTTTTGAGCTGGTGCTGTTTGGGATGATGACAGCTCAGAAATCCCTGATGGTGGTAAGTAGCATCTCGCTGGTAAATGTTTAGATGTCTGTCTATTAGCAATTTCACTTCAATTTCTCTTCTCTCCTCCTCCGTTTACTTTAGCAACCTGGTGGGTTCATGGAGCGTCTGTACGCTCTCCTGTACTCCTTCCTGCCCACTGTTGCCAGCATTGAGCCAAAGGCTGAGAGATACCTGTTGCTGCTCAATGTAAGAGTCAAGAGTTTACTTCCTGTTTTCTTCCTTATTACTAGTTTACTTCCTCTTTACTCGTTCCTGGTTAACAGGGTTTCAATTCCGTTTTAGGGGGAGTAACTCTCATTGTCTCTCTCCTCTTGATAAGCTAGTAGCTCAGAGCCATTTTCTATGTGTTGTGTGGTGTTCCCTTCAGGGCGGGCTGATGGCTCTGCTAGATGACATGTTTGGGCAGCAGCTGGCCTGGTACTTTAACCGAGAGTCTCTGGTCACTGAGCTCTCCAGCCTCCTGGAGTACCACCTGGAGTACCTCATGGCCAGCATGTAGTCCTACTGCAGAGACCTGAAGGGCCACGCCACACTTCTCTCTATCTAGAAGGAAGAGAGAGAGAGAGCGAGCGAGAGAAGAGAGAGAGGAGAGACGAGAGAGAGAGGAGAGAGAGAGAGAGAGAGCGAGAGAGGCGATGAGATCGACTCTAGATCTCTCGTCTATCTCTCTCGCTCTACTATATATCGAGCTATCTCTCGCTCTCTTCTCTCTCTCTCTCTCTCTCTCTCTCTCTCTCTCTCTCTCTCTCTCTCTCGAATTGAGGACTTGAAGTGCTTCGTTGAACCCTGATTAGTTAACACCCATTAAATGAATGTATTCTCTTGTTTTCTCTCCCCACAGGATTCTTGTGACACTTTGCCACCTAACAGGGATCTATACTTTGCACTGAATTTGACATTTTTAAATACAATAAATAGTAGTTCAAAAGCATTTGTCTCTGTCTTTTCATTTATTTGATTATTTCATCACTATTTCCTATTCCTGGAGTTGTTATGAGGCTAATATTACATGAACAATTATGCTTTATTCTTTGCTTATGGAAATAAAAACCAACTTTAAGTTGATTTACATGTACTACAGGCCCACGCTTTATGGCATTGTACTGTGATGTGTGATACTGTACTATTTAAAAACATGTAGGCCTACATACACTGAGTGTACAAAACATTAAGAACACCTTGCTAATATTGAGTTGCACCCCCTGTTGCTCAGAACAGCCTCAATTTGTCGGGGCATGGACTCTACAAGGTGTCGAAAGCGTTCCAAAGGGATTCTGGCCCATGTTGACTCCAATGCTTCCCACAGTTGTGTCAAGTTGGCTGAATGACCTTTGGGTGGTGGACCATTCTTGATACACCTACTACCATACCCCGTTCAAAGGATCATAGATTTCACCTGAATTTACCTGGTTAGTCTATGTCATGGAAAGAGCAGGTGTTCCTAATGTTTTGTACACTCAATGTATGTTAGTTGTGTAGTAACCTGGTACAGTATAAAGTCCACCACTATAGGGCACAACTGCTTCTGTCTTGAAAGTTACTTCTCACTATCCGAACTCTATATTAAGACTCTGCCATTGTAGACTCAGGTAAATTGGTTATTTTAGTTTCAGTTTGCCATATTTGCCATTAATGTCTGAGTCATTTACCGTCATTCCAACTGAAACCAATGTTAGAGTTCATGTATAGCCCCTGGTTCACCCCAGACTTGACTGCCCTTGACCAGCACAAAAACATCCTGTGGCGTACTGCATTAGCATCGAACAGCCCCCGCGATATGCAACTTTTCAGGGAAGTCAGGAAGCAATATACACAATCAGTTAGGAAAGCAAAGGCTAGCTTTTTCAAACAGAAATGTGCATTCTGTAGCACTAACTACAAAAAGTTTTGGGACACTGTAAAGTCCATGGAGAATAAGAGCACCTCCTCCCAGCTACCCACTGCACTGAGGCTAGGAAACACTATCACCACCGATAAATCTACGATAATCGAGAATTTCAATAAGCATTTTGCTACGGCTGGCAATACTTTCCACCTGGCTACCCCTACCCCGGCCACCAGCTCTGCACCTTCCGCTGCAACTTGCCCATGCCCCCCCCCCCAACACCTCCATTGGCCGCCATTCCTTCCAGTTCTCTGCTGCAAATGACTGGAACGAACTGAAAAAATCTCTGAAGCTGGAGACACTTATCTCCCTCACTAACTTTAAGCATCAGTTGTCACTGCACCTGTACACAGCCCATCTGTAATTAGCCCACCCAACTACCTCATCCCCATATTGTTATTTACATTGTTATTCATTTTGCTCATTTGCACCCCAGTATCTCTATTTGTACATCATCTTCTGCACATCTATCACTCCAGTGTTAATACTAAATTGTAATTATTTTACACTATGGCCTATTTACTGCCTTACCTCCATAACTTACTACATTTGCTCACACTGTATATAGATTTTCTATTGTGTTATTGACTGTACGTTTTGTTTATTCCATATGTAATTCTGTGTTGTTGTTGTTTTTAACGCACTGCTTTGCTTTATCTTGGCCAGGTCGCAGTTCTAAATGAGAAGAAAGAAAGAAAAAATAATTGTGAGAGAGGGTGTAGTAGTGCATACTGACCACTAGTTGGATCATAGCGTGGTTGGTGGCGTTCATGCAGGAACCCAAAGGGTATAGGCATTCTCCATTACATTTACATTTTGCAGACGCTCTTATCCAGAGCGACTTACAGTTAGTGAATACATATATATTTTTTTTTATACTGGCCCCCCGTGGGAATCGAACCCACAACCCTGGCGTTGCAAACGCCATGCTCTATCAACTGAGCTATCACAGTAGAAGGGCAGAGTAACCCCTAGGAGCCAGGACCCAGTCCTTATGGAGAGAAATACCATAGAAATAGAATGACAAGATTAGATTAATGACTAGAATAGACTCTATTTCTATGAGAAATACATCATAAAACATGCAAAGAACATACACTACAATGCACATACTACACAAATGCCTTGCTTCCCTAAAAATACTAATTGTGTGTTACAGCAAATAAGGTGATACAATGTTAGATCATGATATTATCTATTCAGTAAATTGAGTAGTTAAGGGAGACAGAAGCTCACCTTCCAGCCTAGGTCACTAAAGCTCACATATAATTAATGTCTCTTACAAGCCTGACGCCCACTGTTGACGTGGCTGTGATCTGAAAGGGATCAAAAAAGATGTTATGAGACAGGACAGACTGTAAAGCATGCTTTGGATGCATTGGATTTAAAATAAAGACACAATTAAATGTAAAGTAATTTTGTAATTTGGATGTACTATCCCTTTAAACTCTGCATAAAACAAGCTTAACAACAACACCAAAAACCAGTGTTGTCCCCTGACCTTGTATGACCTCACCATATATACTGGGCAGGGGACGGTCATATTTGGGCTTCTTCTTGCGGGGGTTGGGATTCAGGGCGCGACAGGGGGCCTGGCTGGCCCTGAAGAAGGTCACCATGAAGGGCTGTTTGGAGCAGGGGCCCCTTCGACCCACCAAGCCTACCCACCCAGCTGACAAGGACCGGTCTGATAGAGAGAAAACAATGTGTGTGTGTGTTTGTGTGTGTGTGTGTGTGTGTGTGTGAGAGAGTGATACAATATTGAGGTAAACCAAAAAAGCATATCTCCATTTCTATGCTCTACCATCAGCTGGTAGAGCACGGCGCTTGTAACGCCAAGGTAGTGGGTTCGATCCCCGGGACCACCCATACACAAAAAAAAATGAATGCACGCATGACTGTAAGTCGCTTTGGATAAAAGCGTCTGCTAAATGGCATATTATATTATTATTACTAAACAATTACAAATACTACGTGACATTATATTGCTACTGCACAGGTATTGGTCTATTATTCTGAGTTAACTTGCCTCTTTATTCAAATGTATAATAATCAAGAAATCCACTTTCTGGGAAATACCCTCCCCATCTGCAGAGCATTTCCTGACCCTGACCATAGTATTAACTCTATGAGGCTCACCCTCCTCTGTGTCCACATAGAGACTGCAGGGGTGCAGGGCGTGACAAATAAACTAGAAACAGGGAATGTTTACTGGTTGCTCATGAGGTCAAGGGGAAGTCAATGTGTGGAATACATTTAACTAGTTGTGGAAAATATTCTAGATCAAGAAAAATAAGGTAAGGAGCAAGCACTGCATGCATATTATGTGTGCCAAACAGGTGCTGCGTAGATTACAATATAATTTTCGGACCTTTTGGAACAACGTAAACAACAATAACTACATTATAAGCGTACCAGAGAGTTTGTTGTAACGTTTTTTTGCTAAGCCTTTATTACAGCAAAGACTAAAAACAGTCGCATTCATTTGTGAATGCAATTTCCGAAATGGAACGGCTTATTGTTTAAGCTAATTATTTTAGGCTCGCTTTATTTTATTTTAAAACTAACATGTTTGATTGCATTTCAAATCATGAATGACTCATATGCTATGTGATGACATGGACGAATGAAAGATTGATTGAAATATAGGCCTAAATAAGTTACAGTATTAAAACTAAACAGGATACGCTCTTAGGCCTACAGCTCAATGGTGGTTATACAGGGCTGCTATACTAAGCCTACTAATGATAATGGCAATACTTATTATAATGATGATCATAATAATAATAGTAATAATAACAATAAGAAGGATATCAAGAAAAAGCAGGGTTATTATTATTATCATTATTATTCAATCTGACACTTTGGAACAATGTAAACAACACTAAATAAATTATAAAGATACCAGAGAGGCTGTTCTAACGAAAACAAGTGTAAAGCCTTTATTACAGCAATGCAAAGATTAAAAACAGCCGAATTTGTGAAATCGTTTACTTGACATGTTGTTGTGTGAGACTTGGTGCTCACCGAACCAGTAGGCTATTAAACAAACCCTCAAATTGTTTACAGACAGATTATTTCACTTATAATTCACTGTATCACAATTCCAGTGGGTCAGAAGTTTACATACACTAAGTTGACTGTGCCTTTAAACAGCTTGGAAAATTCCAGAAAATGATGGCATGGCTTTAGAAGCTTCTGATAGGCTAATTGACATCATTTGAGTCAATTGGAGGTGTACCTGTGGATGTATTTCAAGTCCTACCTTCAAACTCAGTGCCTCTTTGCTTGACATCATGTGAAAATCAAAATAAATCAGCCAAGACCTCAGAAAATGTTCTTTAGACCTCCACAAGTCTGGTTCATTCTTGGAAGCAATTTCCAAATGCCTGAAGGTACCACGGTCATCTGTACAAACAATAGTACACAAGTAGAAACACCATGGGACCACGCAGCCATCATACCGCTCAGGAAGGAGACGCGTTCTGTCTCCTAGAGATGAACGTACTTTGGTGCGAAAAGTGCAAATCAATCCCAGAACAACAGCAAAGGACCTTGTGAAGATGCTGGAGGAAACAGGTACAAAGGTATATATATCCACAGTAAAACGAGTCCTATATCGACATAACCTGAAAGGCTGCTCAGCAAGGAAGAAGCCACTGCTCCAAAACCGCCATAAAAAAAACAGACTACGGTTTGCAACTGCACATGGGGACAAAGATTGAACTTTTTGGAGAAATGTCCTCTGGTCTGATGAAACAAAATAGAACTGTTTGGCCATAATGACCATCGTTATGTTTGGAGGAAAAAGGAGGGTCTTGCAAGCCGAAGAACACCATCCCAACCGTGAAGCATGGGGGTGGCAGCATCATGCTGTGGGGGTGCTTTGCTGCAGGAGGGACTGGTGCACTTCACAAAATAGATGGCATCATGAGGAAGGAAAATTATGCGGATATATTGAAGCAACATCTCAAGACATCAGTCAGGAAGTTAAAGCTTGGTCGCAAATGGGTCTTCCAAATGGACAATGACCCCAAGCATACTTCCAGAGTTTTGGCAAAATGGCTTAAGGACAACAAAGTAAAGGTATTGGAGTGGCCATCACAAAGCCCTGACCTCAATCCTATAGAACATTTGTTATGGATATTTATAGAGCTCTGATCAGGACGACAATTGATTACAGGTGTATAGTTTATGGAACAGCGGCGAAGACTTGGCTTCAGAGGCTGGACAGAATCCAGTATATAGCTTTAAGGATATGTATTGGTGCATTTAAATCAACATCTGTATGTGCCTTACTAGTGGAGGCAGGTGAGATGCCTTTGGATATACGGCGTAAAAAATGGTCATTAGCTTATTGGGTTAGGTTGAAAGGCTGTGAGGTTGAGCATCCCACTGCTACTGTTCTAGATGACTGTTGGGAATATACTAGTAGACGAGGCAGTGGTTTTGGTTGGACAGTTGGAAAGCTTGCTGATGAAAGTGGTTTGAGGGAGTTGGAGGATGGCCGTTCTGTGGTGCTAGGGGATTTTCCTCCATGGTTACTCCCAGATCCTGTTGTTGATCTAACCTTGGTAGAGAAAAGGAAAGATTGGTCAGAAGTCAGTGATATAGGGAAACTGGTTGACAATTACATTGGTAGAACTTGTTTTTTTTTACCGCTTTTCACAGATGGATCCAAGGACCCAGATAGTGGGCGCACAGGAGCAGGCGTTTACATTCCTGAATTTAATGTGAAGATATGTAGAAGACTAACAGATGAACTGTCAGTATACTCAGTTGAACTGTTGGCGATAGTAGTTGCCCTCCAGTGGGTGGAGGACGTACAACCTGCCAGAAATAAAGTACGCTCAGATTCTCTGTCTGTATTGAATAGTTTATAATCTGGTAAATCTAATAGGAGTGATCTACTATTGGCGGTATTAATGTTATTATGGAAAATTGAGAGACTGGGTGTAGTAGTGAGATTCTGCTGGGTCCCAGCACATTTATTTTTATTTTTTGTACCTTTATTTAACTAAGCAAGTCAGTTAAGAACAAATTCATATTTACAATGACGGCCTACACCGTGTGGAAGGGAATGAAATTGTAGACCAGTTAGCCAAAATAGCTTTGAAACGAGATATAATTTATATTAATGTTCCACTGGGTAGAGGTGAGGCCAAATGTAAGATCAGAGCCATTTTGATAGATGTGTGGCAGAAGAGATGGGACTCTGAGCCCAAGGGCCGGCATTTATATGCCCTCCAAAGAAAGGTTGGTGGACCAAGATTCAAAGGTCAGATTAGGAAGGAAGATGTGGTGTTTGCTCGATTAGGACATTGTACATTGAACTCGTCATTACATCTGGTTGGCAAGCATGTGAATGGTTTTTGTCTGGAGTGTATGGTCGATGAAACAGTGGAGCATATGTTTTTAGAGAGGGAAAGATTGAAGTGTAGGGTCATTGAGGTTGGGGGTTTGGAAGGGATTTGGGGGAGGGTCTATTAGAAGTTAGTAGGGCTCTTTTTTATTTTCTCAGAAGTACTGAGTTAGGAAGGAGGATTTAGGTATGTTGTAAACCGTGATTGACCACACACTCCAGCACAGTAGGTGGCGGCATGCACCTTTAACGTTTGTTTGCGGACCGCCATTATATCATAGAAGAAGAAGAGCGCGTCCAGTCTGCCGGAAACTCACGCGAAGAAGCTGCACGTTGTTAACGTGATAGTGTAGTAGCTGATAATTTGTGTCTACGTTTTAGACCGTAGCTCTGTCCACAACATTATAGCTGAAATTGATTGATTCTACAATGGAAAGCGACACCGAGATGGAGGACTTCGATAGAAGCGAGGAAGGAAGCAATTGGTCTGATGATAGTTACCTTGCAGACGAAGACTTCAGCTTCGACTATCAGGAGGGAGTGGATCCACATGAGGACGCGTAAGTAGGAATAATCACTTCCAGAGCGCATACTGTACCCAGTCAACACACTGGGGGGCCGAGCTCTCACCGAATCCGTCAGAACCATTTAGAACAATGAGACAAATATTTTACCGGATGTAAACATGTGAAGCATCCGCTTGGCATTTCCACTGGAAGCACAGTGTGGCGGGCAGTGGGAGAAGATCGAACGAGATGGATAAGGCCGCCGACATTCTGCACATTTTGTCATCGATGAAACAGTTGATCTCAATACAGTTTTCTGTTCCCAAAACTATAATCTGTTACGAACAGAGTGGACTAAGTTTTGTAGACTTTACCCTTTGCCAAAGTTGGAAAAAATTGCGTTGTTTAGAAGACGCGCAAAGGCCAATTTAGTTATTACACACGCGCACTTCACAGAGTAGGCGTTCCCTAACAGAAATATGCAAAGGTCTGTTAGAACGCGCCAATAGGATCTCGCTAGCTCGTGCTTGGGTCTGTCCACCTCCTTGCTTGTTCTGCCCACTAGCATTAATTTGTTCACATTGGAAACGACAGGCTGTGGTCTATTTTTGGGGTAGTTTGATATTACTCTGGGCTCAGGCTAATGGCACTCTTGCCGAGTCCACTTCAGTTTATCAGGCCCTATTAACTTTTTTCACTTGAAAACAAAATCATTCTTCATTACATTGTGTTGTTGTAGCCTAGGTAGGATACATTTCTGGTCCCTAAAAAAACGGAAACATGGTAGCTTTTCCAGCTGTGTAGACTGGGAGAGAGCGCACATAGTGTAGCTACCTATGATTTCGTTATCTGATAAACTTGTTTTCTTTCACTGTGTAAATTGACTGGATATATTCACTGAAGTATTAAGCCTAACATTGAGCTTATGAATTATAGCCTATTATAAACTGGGTGGGTCGAGTCCTGAATGCTGATTGGTATATCAGACCATATACCACGGGTATGACAAAACATTTATTTTTACTGCTCTAATTAGGTTTGGTAACCAGTTTATAATAGCAATAAGGCACCTCAGGGGTTTGTGATATATGGCCAATATACCACGGCTAAGGGCTGTGTCCAGGCACTCCGCGTTGTGTCATGCTTAAGAACAGCCATTAGCCATGGTATATTGGACATATACCACACCTCCTCGGGCCTTATTGTTTAAATATGCATATGCATCTACTTAGGCTATAGGTTACATCTCGAGCCCGTCTGTCTTTGTTCTGTTGCACAATTACGCACCTGGCCTCTTTCAACCTTTTTTCTTTAGCCTATTGGAGGAGAGATGCACGCTTGCTCTTGCTTGCTGAATGTAAAATAGTGTACAGCATTAAGAACGGGCGAGGAGTTGGAAAGGAGAAGCCCATGTTTTCCTATAGTAGGGCTATCTTAACACCGGGCTACATCCTGACAAAATACACCACGAGTGGCCTGCTAAGCTCCCTTTCTTGTCCTTCTAAACTGTTGAGAATAGACCCAAACTGATTAAAATGGTTGCATAATCAGGCCTAGGTTGTAGGCCTATGCAGTTATTTCGGCATGAAACAAAACAGGACGTTTGAGCGGTTATTGAAATTAGCCTATCACTGCAGTTAACAACCTATGGACAATCATTGTGTATTCACTTGCTAATAATAATAATCACAATGCACTGTTGTTGTAGGTACACCAGGTATAATAATTGTATTGTCTAAAAATCAGGGGTGCAACTTTGGTTATAGGAGTGGGGGGGACATAACCTGGTGTGGGGTCTGGGGGTCCTCCCTCAGAATTTTTCTTGGCATCTAAAGCTCATTTCCTGCATTTCTACACAATCTAATATGACAATTTTTTGGGGGGTAAATAAGAATAGAATATGTTTCTATACACTACATGAATGTGGATGCTACCATGATTATGGATAATCCTGCATGAATCATGAATAATGATGAGTGAGAAAGTTCTAGAAAATCTAATCAAATGTTATTGGTCACATACACATATTTAGCAGATGTTATTGCGGGTGTAGCGAAATGCTTGTGTTCCTAGCTCCAACAGTGCAGTAGTATCTAACAATTCACAACAATACACAAATCTAAAAGTAAAAGAATGGAATTAAGAAATATATAAATATTAGGACGAGCAATGTCAGTGGCATTGCCTAAAATACAGTAGAATAGAATACAGTATATACATATGAGATGAGTAAAGCAGTATGTAAACATTATTCAAGTGACTAGTGTTCCATTATTAAAGTGGCCAGTGATTCCATGTCTATGTACATAGGGCAGCAGCCTCTAAGGTGCAGGGTTGAGTAGCCGGGTGGTAGCCGGCTAGTGATGGCACAAATATAATTAATTGGGGTCCTGAGGACCAAGTTTGGGAAACCCTGGGCTACACAGTTGTTACAGTACACCAGCGTTTCCCAAACTCGATCCTGGGGACCCCAAGGGGTGCACATTTTGGTTGTTGCCCTAGCACTACACAGCTGATTCAAATAATCAAAACTTGATGATGAGTTCATTATTTGAATCAAAATGCATCATATGGTCCAGATTTCTGTATTTCCAAAGTTACATATCTCAAGAACTTGATTGCTGACATGCAAAACATTTTTGGGAGTAATAGTTTGAGGGGTGGAGTATTCCTTTAAGTAGAAATAACCACGATGCAGATCGGGTCAGACCTTACATTTGATTTGAGCATGTTTGTTTGCCAACCGTGAGGAACAATTAGGTTATTTTGTTCTTCACTAGCTATTCCAGCCAGGCGAGAACAAATAAATATGAAACAAAAACAGAATATAGCTAATCCTTCGTTTTTCAATGATATCTTTTACAATTTTGGATCAAACATGTAATCGTTTGTGTTAGAAATAGAGCCCCACAGTGGAGGTGTCATAATACCCATAAAACCTAGCGGTCAAAAAGGGAAATGGTTCCAATCGTTTTTACACCATTCATTTTTCCCATAGGGGATTTTAGAAAAACTTAAATTAAGGGCTGTGTTTCGTGTAGGCTTACCCTGGTGTGACGTTTTGATAACCATGTAAATCTCTCTCGGACAAAGTGACTGTTTTAAAACTGTTTGAAAATAAAGACAGCCTCCTTTTCAACTCGTTTATCACGTGATTTACTTTAACTTCAGCATGTGGGCAGGCGTAAGGTCAAAGTGAAGGCATTACTTTGCAAAAGTGGGCGTGTACGTGTGCTGGTTTATACTAGGTATGTCAACAATGCACACACATCACTTCCAGTTGTGGAACCTCAGTCTGGTGGTGGTGGTAATTTGAGAGCGCACAGAAAGTAAAAAATAAAAATGCTCAAATATAATATTTTGCACTTTAGTGTATTTATACTTGGGATATTGCTTTTCAACAGGAAAAGTCCAAAAATCGCTTGAGTCAGTATTTAAAAGAAGACAGACTGCAGATCCGACTTTTCTTGACCCCGCTTCCCGGCAGCTGGGGCTTCTGCGCATGTGCAGGTTTCTTTACTTTGTGCACATTCTCTGTTCTATTCGTAGATAATCTCCCTAATTTCTCACATTCAATCGTGAATGATGATTATTCAAATGTTACTGGTGAAACATCCATGCAGCATCTGCATATCAACCAGATGGTGTTAACTAACTGTAGCATAGCCTACCCGTATTTAGTTTAAATCAAAGCAGATATTTTGCCTAGTGGAGTGGAGGATCTTCGGGAGCTTTAGCAGTCGGGAGGAAAGGTCCGGAAAAGTCTGATCCGCAGCCACTCCATTAAAAAGATCTGAAATCAAAATGACATACTTGAATATGAATTCTAATTTTTCAGATTATTATTTCTTTTCAAACTATTTGGCAGGCATACTTTACTCAGTTTGTAAACCTAACTTCAGATCTAGTTAGTTTTTTAAAATGTATTTTACCTTTATTTAACTAGGCAAGTCAATGACGGCCTACACCGGCCAAACCCGGACGACGCTGGGCCAATTGTGCGCCGTCCTATGGGACTCCCAATCACGGCCGGTTGTGATTCAGCCTGGAATCGAACCAGGGGGTCTGTAGTGACGCCACAAGCACTGAGATGCACTGCCTTAGACCGTTGCGCCACTCGGGAGCCCAGTTTCAGATTGATCTGAGACGGTGGGTGTCGGCCACATTGAATTGACATGAAATGTAGATGTGTGGACCCATGTAGATGAGTTGTATTCTGTTGTCTAGGCCTTAGTGATAGTATTGACTTAGTGAATTGCATTATTGTAAACATGTTCATATTTATCTTCATAGTCTTGATTGGGAAGAGGAGGACTCAAATGAATCAGCAAGCGACTCACCACCCAGAGTCACCCCAAGGATAGAGAGCCAATCTGAGAGCGGGGTAAATGGTTCTGAGTCTCCAGAAGAAACATGGTTACCATGCAAAGGGTCACAGTCAACAAGGACATCAAGGTATTTACAAACTTTCATAATCCATCAGTGTTTCCGCTGCAGTCATTTAGCTGTGGCGCTGCGCCACGGCAAAATCATTGCCGCCACGGCAAAAAAATATTTGACTCGCTGCATTTTTCTATTATCAAGACACCTGCTGGTAACTCTTAACTGGTTAGGACAAGTCATGAGGGTGTCCTAAATATCTGTAGACTAGGTGTGACTCACGACTAAAGAGGCTTCATGCATACCTTTTATTTTTACCCGTAAAATAAGGAGTAAAATGTATATTCTCAGCACTTACGACCCAAAGTCTGAAATGGCCTGCCTGTATAAACGCAGCCTAACAGCTCTGAGACCATATTCAGCCCTAGATGTCTTAGAGCCAATATGCTTATAGAAGGTCTACACCCCCTTTCAACATTTCACTGTTTGTTGCCTAATAGCCTGGAATGAAAATGCATTAAAATACTTTTCCCAATGATCTACACATCCTACCCCACAACTTCCAAGTGAAAATTATATTATGTTAAAAAAATAAAGACTGAAATTGCTTAGTATGATAAGTATCCACCCCCCTTGTAATAGCAATCCTAAATTATCTTGGGTGTAACCAATCACCTTCAAAATCACACAAAGTTAATTGGCCTTCACCTGTGTTAAATTGTAGTGATTCACATGATTTCAGCAGTTCCTGGAGGTTCCTTCTGCTGGGTAGTGAATTGCAACACAAACACTCAACCATGAGCACCAAGGAGCTTTCAATAGAACTCTGGGACAAAGTGGTGGAAAGGCACAGGTCCAGGAGATGGGTATAAAAATATTTATAAGTCCTTGAATATCCCTTGGAGCATGGTCAAGATGATTATTAAGAAGTGGAAGGTGTATGGCACCACCAAGACCCTGCCTAGATCAGGCCATGCCTCCAAACTGGATGACCGAGCAAGTAGGAGACTGATCAGAGAGGCTACCAAGAGTCCAATGGCAACTTTGAAAGAGCTACAGGCTTTTATGGCCAAGACTGGTCAAAGTGTGCATGTGACAACAATATCCCAAGCACTCCACAAATCTGGCATGTAGGGTTGCAAGAAGGAAGCCATTACTCAAGAAAGCCCACCTTGAATACCATTTGAAGTATGCAAAAAAACACAGGAGTTTCTGTAGCCATGTGGCAAAAAGTTTTGTGGTCTGACGAAACTAAAATTGAACTTGTGCAAAAAATGCAAAGCCTTACATTTGGCGCAAACACTGCACATCACCCAAAGAACACCATCCCTATTGTGAAGCATGGTGGCGGCAGCATCATGTTGTGGGGATGTTACTCATCAGGACACTAGAAAGGAAAATTAATGGAGCATGAAAAGTCCTTGAGGGAAAACTTGCTGCCCTCTGCAAGAAATCTGAAACTGGGACGGAAGTTTACCTTTTAGCATGACAACAACCCAAAGCACACAAAGCTACAGTGGAGTGGCTAAGGAATAAAAAGGTAAATGTCCTTGAGTGGCCCAGTCAGAGCCCCGACCTAAATCCAATAAAACATTTGTGTCATGACTTAAAGATTGCTGTCCATCAACGCTCCCAAGGAACATGACAGAGCTCGAACAGTTTTGTAAAAAATAATACATTGCCAAATCTAGGTGTGCAAAGTTGATAGAGACCTATCCCAACAGACTCACAGCTGTAACTGCTGCCAAAAGTGCTTCCACCAAGTATTGACTCAGGGGGTGGAGACTTATCCAAATATGATATTTCTGTTTTTGTATTTTTTATATATAATATTTTTTCCCAAAAAATAAACTTTCCCTTAAGTGTGGAGTATGGTGTGTAGATAAGTGAAATAAATCCCTATTTATATGCATGAAACTCTGAGGCACTGACACAACAAAATGTGAAAAAAGTTAGCGGGTGTAGACTTTCTATAAGCACTGTAGCTAGTTCACGTCTTTTTAACCTTCAAGTTTTAAAGTTAATTGAAGACCAATACCGATGGCATAGCTGTCGCTCAATTGGAAGTGTTGTTCAAAACATGTTTACTGAATTGATCATTACTAATGTTTATTTTCATAGTGTTGAAACTGAAGAAGATGAAGGCCCACTGCTGAGTACCTTACATCCAGACCAACAGCGTAGCCCATCAACAAAGACCCATTCCCCACGCAAACGAGTGCTGGCCTCACCCTCATTAAAGTCCAAAGTACCACGTCTCTCAACCCCAAGAAAAACCTCTCGCTTACCACACAGAACCGAGTCAGATCAGCCATGGAAAACAGAGGAAGACCCTGATGAGGGTCCTCAACCTTTGAGATTTTGTCCAAGCAGACCTCCTGGACCTCAAGTAGATCCCTCAGCCATGTACTCACCGTTAGACTTATTTCAAATGTTTTTTACCAAAGTCACGGTCAGAACCCTCTGCGACAATACAAATAGACAAGCGGCTAGAAACATTGGTAGGGGCAAAAAGTTTAAGTGGATAGATATAACTGTGAAGGAGTTTTACAAATTCATTGGATTGGTCTTCTTTACTGCGCTGGTTAAGACAAGAGCTATCAGTGATTACTGGATAACAAACTCCATCTTCTCGATTCCGTTTCCAGCTACTGTGATGAACAGGGATAGATACAGAATCATATCATGGAACATTCACATGAGTGATCCTGATGAGGACGCTGTCAATGACAGTAAAAAGGGCACACCTGAATATGATAGGCTATTTCGGCTCAAACCATTAATGAATGACATTCGTCATGCCTGCATGTCCTGTTTCCACCCACATAGAAACCTGGCTGTAGATGAAAGGATGGTGGCATCAAAAGCAAGAAATGGGTTGATTGAATATATCAAGTCAAAGCCCACTAAATTTGGCTTTAAGATTTTTGTGTTAGCTGACTCCAGCAATGGCTATACAGTGGACTATACTGTGTATATCGGCAAGAACACGTTTCCCGTTGGCTTTGGAATTTGTTACGATTCAGTGATGTCCCTCGTAAGGCCCTCTGTCCTTGGCTCAGGTTACCATGTGTACCTTGACAACTACTTCTCCAGCCCAAAACTATTCAAGGACTTATTTGACATGAAAATGGGAGCGTGTGGTACCATGCGGGAAGGCAGACAGGGTTTCCCAAGAGCAGAAGAAAATGCACTGACCAAGAAATCCCCAAGAGGATCTTTACGGTGGATAAGGGAGGGCTCCCTGCTCTTTGTGAAGTGGAAGGATGCCCGGGAAGTGTCGATGGGTACCACCATTCATCAAGCGTATGGAGGGGAGAAAATAAACAGGAAACACAAGAATAAGGATGGCAAATGGTCTCATGAGTCAATTCCAGTACCCACCCCCATTCTAGAATACAATAAAAACATGGGAGGTGTTGACTTATCTGACCAACTGATTACGTACTTCTCAGCCCACCGCAAAACAATGAAGTGGTACCGAACATTGTTCTACCATTTTGTGGACATAGCGACTACTAACAGCTACATCATTCACAAGGATCTGTGTAAAGTGAACAAGATGCAGCCCATGACCCACAAAGAATTCACACAAGCGCTCGTGGCCCAGCTTTGCGAGGTGTCCATTGAGACTCAGTCCAAGCCGAAGAACACTGGACACACACCTGTCCCGATCAAGCCTGTGGCAGACAAAAGCAAGAGAAGCTCTGCAGGACGAAAGCGCTGCGAACTCTGCAAGAAATCGGGACACTCCAAAGACACTCCCTGGAAGTGCAATGAGTGTGGTGTACCACTCTGTGTCATTCCAGACAGAAATTGCTTTCATGATTGGCACAACCTTGAAGGAATGGCCCCAGTTGAGTATCAGTCTTCTGACTCTTGAGTAAAGCTGGAAGACTTGTGCAGCTATACCCTATCCATCGCAGATAAGGAGTGCTGTTAGACCTGTGCCTTATTGCACATGTTTGTGTATTTCAACAAAATGCTGCTCATCTTCTATTTTGACTTTTGATATGATGAGTAATAATATTGTGTTGTTTTTCCAAGATAATGATATCAGGCCATAAATTAGTCTTTAGCTCTGCAATTTGAAATTGACATGGCAGTGGTTGCCAAGTCTGAATGAGAAGGGGAAAAAGTTACAGATATTGTTTTTGGGATGTAATATTTGTAAATAACTTGTGTTATTAACTTGTGCTGCTATTCTTCAGCAATATGGCGTTCTGGTATTCTAGTGTGTCATTAAATCCTGCATGCACACACCATCACACCATTGCCTTCTGTTTGATCACAATTATCTTTATCAGATTACATGGCCTGACTTTTTCCACTCTTATGTAATAGCTAAATTTGAGTCAAGTGAAAGTGTTTTTAAAATGTACTGGTCAATGATGTGGAGCTTAAACATATATTGCAACCCTATGGCTCATAATTTGTGGAGGCTACTATGACTAACAGTGTATTTTCAGATGTGTGAAAGAATCAACCTCAAAAGATCCCAGCTTTTCTCACCTTGTTTTAGTGTAATTATTTTTTAAATATACTTTATGCAAGAGTAGTTATTACAAGAAACATAGCAAATCTACCTCTAAGATGAATCAACCTTGTATATTATTTGTTGAGTTTCTCTTTTCTACTGTGTAGTAACGGTTATTTTGTTTTACCAAAAGGTGCTACTCAAAAATAACAGTGCACGTATGCACGTAGATCAACAGAGTGAAGCTTGTAGTAAGTCTAACCCTTTTCCTAACATTAACCTCATTCTCCTAACCTGCAATGGTTCGGGGCAGCAGGTAGCCTAGCGGTTAGTGTTGGGTCAGTAAATGAAAGGTCGCTAGTTCGAATCCCTGGCCGTGACTCCGCTCTCTCAGGGTGTCTCAGGGAGAGTGGGATATGCAAAAAACACATCTACAATTCACACATGCGTATTACACACTTGTACATGTGAAATAAGACAAATATAAGCACCCACCAAGTTATTATTATTAATTATCCTAACCTGCTACGTAAAGTCACTTTAGCCACAACTGTAGAAACAGTCAGTCCCGACAAACCATCAGTATCACCACAGCATCTTAATCAAATCCCCTCATTACTTTTTCAGGCTAATGCTGCATTCATAACCAAGTGGGAAGGTGTTTTTTACCACATACAACTTGGAGAAATCCACTTGAACGCCCCTCCAACTGCTAATTACTAGTGGGAAACTCGTCTATCATCCCTAGGCTCCAGCTTCTCCAACATGCTGAACTCTGACGTAACCCACTAAGGATATGACCTCGATAACAGAATTTTGGGCAGTTAAATGCAACAAAACATTATTTATAAAAAGCAATATTGTTTTTTTAACACTAATTTGTTTGTGAACACGATCGCTGTACGAGGTTGGAGTAATATGTTCAGTTACTTAAGATATTGGCTCGAATTTAAGTTGTGCCTTTAGTTTTCTCATCTAAGGACTAATTTTACCACCTTCCCAGTTGGTTAGGAACGCAGCATTACATCCAACCCCCCCCAAATACTGGAGTCAACATCCAGTTTCAAAGCTGAAGAAGGGGGTTAGTTGGATCGAGAAGGGAGCATGGCAGCAGCAACTGAGTTTCCTGAAGTCCCAGTCCAACACGGAGATGGAATTCATGTCGGAGGCCCGGGCGAGGAAGAGGGAGGATGGTGTGAAGAAGCAAGACAGAAAGAAGTGCGCGAGGTGCAATCCTGAACCGACTGCGAAATGCAAGCAGAGTACTTTCTCCTTTGAGTCAAGTACAGGAGAGAAAATTGCATGTTACGCGCCTGAAAACCATGAGCAGTCGACGGATCGTGAAATTGAACCTGACAAAAGTGAGGAGGAAGAACCAGCGTCTTCAGGTCAGGTGAAGGTTTCCGAGCCTTACCCCAATGATCAGAAAAATGCCAGAGATGACTCTGGCCCAGTGGGAGTATGTTTCGTGGAGAAAATGGACCCATGCCTTTTTGCCGAACGTTTGTGGTAGAAAGAGGCTGGGTGAAGAAGGAATTGGGTTCTGTCAATTCGGTCAAAGTATCCAGAGGTGGAATTTTTTTTATGTGTCTGCTGCTCAGAGGTAGAGGGCGCTGCGCATTTCGAGACTCGGGACGAAAGTGGTGACCTGCTTCGCTCTCTGGAGCGGAGTGCCGCTGAAAGGAGTGTGTTCAGGTGGATCGACTGAAGTTGGGGCCCAACTTCAGACGAGTTTCCCACTAGTTTCCATGTGTTTGATGCCATTCCATTGGCTCCATTCCAGCCATTTATTATGAGCCGTCCTCCCCTCAGCAGCCTCCACTGGTACAGAGTGATCTGAACAGTTTGTGCTTTAGTAAGGTTGGCTTCTTGGTGTTTATTGCTATGGTCATTAATTGGACTGCACAAATGGAAAGGAAATCCCAGAAGATTGAATTGGTAGTAGCAGCAGTAGAGAAGTTTTTGGGTGTCAGAGATTTTAGTGCAGAAGAACTAGAGGGAGTTTTGAGAGAAGGGTGTAGGATCTGTTGGGGCCAAAGTAGTAGGAAGGAGTGGTGGGGTGTTGGGGATAGTGGTATACTGTGTGTATATATAGGGTTAGATGGTGGCACAATTTCCCCCCCATTTTCTGAGTCTTTTTTATTTTTTACAAATGTGCAATGTACTTTCCAAACTGAAAGGCAGCAATATGCAACAAAGCGTCTAGTCTGCCGGAAAGCCACACGAAGAAAAAAGCAGAAATAGGAACAAAGAAATCAAGATTACCGTTCTCTTTGCAGCAGGATATTATGCTGGCAGCATGAGCGCAGATTTTTGGGGGAATATCGATTTCTTTTTTTTTGCACTAGTTTTACAACGATTTTCCCACAGCATTGCTACCACCTTTGAAAAAATACATTGATAATTTGTCGTATTCATACCATTGCTTTAAAAAGTTTACACAAACACTGGTATGCTGTGTAGGGCTATATTTAAAGAAATACACTTTTAATAAAAACCAAATATATGTCATTGGAATTACTCAATAGAGTCTGCAAAAATTGTATTGGTCTCTGTATTAAATGGGTTTAATACAGTGCTGCTGGTGACTCCTTATTCCACCCACTGCATTCACTGCAGTGCAATTCATGGTACAGTATATGGATAGTTATTGGGTTGTAAAGAACTTTACTACCTGTCTCATATAAACTGGTGGGAAGTACTCAGTCGGGTCTCTACTAAGCAGTTTTGGAGGGGGACTGTGTGGCACGGCCTGCTGCTGGCTTTTCACTCTGCCCCTTCTATAGCTGCCAATTCAATACACTGTAATTGACTGTACATGGGATACATTTAGGCTTGTAGAGAACTTTTCTATGGAACGCCATTTGGGTCTTTGCTTGTCAAAAAAGATACGTCATAAGCTTGTTGACCAATCAGGACCTGAATAGGACTGCACATCACATAATTGAACACGTTAATACATTTTTTACGTAGTTATTACACATTGATTACACTATCACTCCTTTTTCATATGTCACAGCGATTTACCGATACGTATGCTATGATGCTGGTAAAGTTTTGTCTTGCGCACCTGCTGCTGCTGCACTTGAACGCAGACACACTTCCCCAAGCTCTGGGACATTGATGGCCATAAAAAAAGCTAACAACTAGCTGATGGGTGCAAACACTGTTCTTCCCCAAAACCAGCGAAATGACCATCTGTTTCAGTAGCTATGGTGTCATAATCTAAAATACCCCTAATTTATAAAAGTTATTTGATTAATGATGGTCGGACCCACCTATGTGAAGCTAGACACAATAAGGATTAGCCACAATAGTTGAATTTAAGGTTTGCCTTCAAAATAAAAGTCTCTCATTGAATGTGATGCAAATGAATGCAATCTTTTTTGACACGCAAAGACCCAAACAGCGTTTTCTACCTGTCTCAGCTAAAGTGGGGTGGGCAATGCTCAGTAGGGTCTCTACTAACCAAATATAATTTGTTTTTTAAGGGGGTTGTGTCCCACGGCCTGCTGCTGGCTTTTCACTCCGCCCCCTCCATAGCCCCAATGCAATAAATACACTATACATTTTAGTCATTTTAGCAGACGCTCTTATCCAGAGCGACTTACAGTTAGTGAGTGCATACATTATTTGTCATACTGGCCCCCTGTGGGAAACGTCATACTGGCCCCCTGTGGGAAACGAACCCACAACCCTGGCATTGCAAATGCCATGCTCTACCAACTGAGCTACATCCCTATACATGGGATACATATTAGCTTGTAGAGAGAATTTTTCTACCTGTCTCAGATACAGTGGGATATATGTCAGTAAGGTCTCTACTAACCAAATATGTGTAGTTTTTCAACTAATGGTTGAACCAAGTCATATTTCAGGCAGGTAGAAATATAAGTCAATATGTTTCTCATGCAGGGTTGGGGAGTAACGGAATACATGTAATCCGTTATATGTAAGGGATTACAAAAAACGGTAACTGTAATCCGTTACGTTACCAGCAAAGATATTGTAATCAGATTACAGATACTTTTGAAAAACTAGATTACTTCAAGGATTACTTTTAAATTCAGAAAGGATGTTCACGGAAAAAAATATTTGACACTTCTCTGTTTTCTCAATGACATTCAAATTAGCACTGAAAAAAGGTGCAAATTTAAGTTTGCTCCACCTGAGCGAGTCTCACCACAAGTCAGAGACCACTATGATGACACACCAAATGTGTTTGATGGATTGCGGTAAAAGAGCAGGAATAGGCTTTTGTAGGCTACAGTCCAAGCTATGTCTTCCAATGGTGCGACTGCTGTCGGCATCCAGAGATTATCCAACTTGAATAAACGCTTGGAGGTAAGGATGACAGCAGTGTTGTAGTCTATGGCGATACGGATATCACTTATTATTGATATCTACATAGCGCATTGATGTGAATCACACTGCTGCTGCTCTCATTTAGCTATTTGCGCCTTACGGATTGTGGTTGTTGTGGATGCCTGTTCACAAATCTAAATGTGTATTGGAACCCAATAATGGTTGAATTCAAGAAGTTTAAGCTGCCTATCAATCATTGTTTTTGAAACCAGTGGACAGCCAATGAAAAAAGTGCTCTTGCAACAGCTGCATAGTGCGGATCCCAGCATATCGAATAAAAGTGGGGCTTTTATTGCTCAATCTAATTAATGCTGATAAAACATTTTTGTGTGGCAGATTATTGTTCTACCAACTGTCTGCTGCTGCATGATGCCAGAGGCTGATTAGCTAGACAAAGAGGTGGGAAACACAGACAGGTGTGCGCGCTAAGCAAGGCACAACATGGAATACATGTTTGGTTTTGATTTGGAGGGGGGTGGTACTTTTACAAAAAAAAGATTGCTGTTTTGAAATTGCAGTGAAAGTGCAGTAACTGCAGTCGCCTGTGGTATTTTGGACGCAGAATAACTGCAGTTATTCAACACTAACTGCAGTTACACTGCAAAATTACTGCAGTACAAAAAACGGTGTTATTTTGGACACAGTATTTGCAGCATACTGCAGTTATACTGCACTCTGACTGCAATCTTTTTTCGAAAGGGTAGCGTCTAACAATTGGATGTAATTATTTAATGGGCATCGCTCGGTGACGCAAACGAGTCGACGCATTCCTTATCAGAACCAGTGTTGCCAACTCTGTAAAGTCGCTAAATGACGTCATCACCTAATTTACATAATTGGCCATGTGCATGTAATTGTGATGGACGCTGTAGGAGAAAGGAATAACGTCGTGGGAGAGACAAAAAGTGAGTAAAAAACACCCTACATTTACATCCCGCCCTGAATGTAAGCCAGGACGGGATCAGCCAGCGGCGGCTTCCCGCATGCGCGATTCATTTGCAGTCTGGACGCGGAGGGGTGAACATCTCCTGCTCTGACTGCAGCTGGGAGGGACTGCTCCGCGAGGACTGGGCTGCCTGTGAGTGCTTTGGGACGGGGGTAACAAAGCACCCGCTGCTCGTTGAGAAGAGTAAGAACGATACGTGCTTTCATGTCTGTCTCCAATAACACCAGAGAAAGTCGCTAGATTTGTCGCTAGTCGCTTTTTTGTAAATGTGTCGCTAGAGGGGTCTGAAAACTCACTAAATATAGCGACAAAGTCGCTAAGTTGCCAACACTGATCAGAACCAGCCACTGACCATGGAGATACTCTCCGACGAGGGAAAAGCGTAGCAAATATTTTGCAAAATGGCAAAATGTTCTACAGCTAGAACTCTGGTCTAGGAAATGGGCTATAGCTAGGTATCCAAAATGTGAAATATAGAAATCAACAGACACCTCTAGCTAAGTATTGTCACAAGCTGTAGGAATCCTTGTCTTCGTTTAGCCTAGATTCTCTGGATAGCCTAGTACTCGTCATTTTGTTGCTATTTTGTCAACATGTTTACATGCTCATCTCCTTTTAGTGTTGACTTGAGTGATTGGGATGAAGGACCACAAAGCAGCTTCTCTACAGGATGCAGCATACCACGAACAAAAGGCTCTGTTTTCGCCATCATCAGACTTTGGGGCGGTATCAAACGGATTCACTCACAGTCCCGAGTCACCGGGAGAACAATGCTCACCACTTAAAGAGTCACAGCAATCACACATGTTGAGGTATTTTGATTATATATCGAATGTGCACATTCATTACTACCTGTATGTCTGTTTATCCAGATGTTTATTGTACCGGTAAATAAAGTACTGAGAAATGTAATTTTGCCGATGTTTTCTCTGATTGGTCTATCCAAGCCTCCTGATATGATTTGTAATGGTCAGTCTTTTTTCTGGCTAAATCTTTTAAGTCAGAAGCTTGCTATTTTGGCAAGGGTAGTTACAATTTGGCCATCTAATCAAGGGTGAGTAACTGAAAAAGACGAAGATCATTTTTTGCACTAAGATCATCAAGTGTAGGATGGTGTATTAACACTTTTTCTTATGGTGGTGAGAAAGACAAGTAATGATGTTTATTGAAAGCATCTGCTACCAGAAAAACATTTCCAGGCATTGTTCAGCTGTTATCCAGTTTCATTGATCTAAGAATAAAGTTTCTGTTTGCAACACTAGTGAGAAACTTTAGTGTGTGACTCGGAATAACTTAATTGAACAGAGATCAATTTGTTGTTCAAACATCTTTTAATGGAATTGACAGAATATTAATTTATTTGAATCGACTTAAAGTTTTTTGTTTGTTTTTGTAGTATTAAAACTGAAGAGGATGAAGCACCGCCACTGCTAATCGCCTTACCTTCAGAACAACAGTGTAGCCCGTCAGAACCATTGGCAGAAGAACATTATGCCCTCACTGAAGGCACCCTCAAAGAAAAGGTCTCTCTCACCACAAAGTCTCTCTGCCATTCAAGTCTTGGAGCACTGAGAAGGATCATGATGAAGGCTCTGCCCCTTTGAATTTTTCTCCAGACCGGTGTCCGGGAGTACAACTAAATGCTTCTGCAACGTACTCACCGCTGGACATATTCAAACTATTTTTCTGCAAAGCCACCGTCACAACCCTTTGCGACAATACAAATAAACAAGCCGCTTTGAACAGAGGGAAAAAGGGGAAAAAATCGGAATGATCCTCTTTATAGCGCAGATGAAGCTGGCAAATATCACAGATTAATGGAGAAAAAATAACACATTCTCTGTGGCGTTTCCAGCTACTGTGATGTCCAGGGATTGATACAGAGTCCTATCATGGAACATTCACACGAGTGATCCTGATGAGGACGCTGTCAATGACCATAGAAAGGGCACACCTGAATATGACGGGCTATTCCGACTCAAACCGTTACTGAATGACATCCGTCATGCCTGCCTGTCCTATTACCACCCACAGAAAAACTTGTCCGTACACAAACGGAGTGTGGCATCAAAATGTATGGTATCAAATCTAAGGGCGCATGAACATTTTAAGGAAAAGCTCACTAAGGTGGGCTTCAAGCTTTTTGTGTTGACTGACTCCAGCAATGGCTATACAGTTGACTATATAGTATACACAGGCAAGACCACGTTCCCATCTGGCTGTGGAATGTCTTACGATGCAGTGATGTCACTCATAAAGCCCTCCTTCCTCGGATCAGGGTACCATCTGTACCTGGACAACTTTTTCTCCAGTCCAAAACTATTCAAATACCTATTATCCCTGAGGACTGGAGCCTGTGGCAGCATGCGGGACTGCCGCAGAGGTTACCCGTGATCAGAACAAAATGCACTGACCAAGAAATCCCCAAGAGGGTCATTCAGATGGATAAGGGAGGGCTCCCTACTCTTTGTGAAGTGGAAGGACCCATGGGAGGTGTCTGTTGTTTCCACCATTCATGAGGTGCAGGGCGGGGAAGAGGCAAACAGGAGAGTGAAAAACAAGGTTGGCAGCTGGACCACTGAGTCCATTCCAGTCCCAACGCCGATTGTAGAATACAATAAACACATTGGAGGCATTGACTTATCTGAGGAACTGATTTCGTGCTACTCAGCCAACCGCAAGACATTCAAGTGGTACCGCAGTTTGTTCTTCCTCTTTGTGGACATAGCGACTACGAACAGCTTCCTGATTCACAAGGATTTGTGCAAAGGGAACAAAGTTCAGCCCGTGCCTCACAAAGATTTCATGGAAAATCTCACAGCACAGCTTTGTGAGGTTCCCCTTGAGATTCCCACCAGGAGGGGGAAAACTGGACACATGCCCATCCGTATCAAGGTGACTGACAACATAAGCAGAATGGCCACATTTGGACGCAGGCACTGTGAAAACTGCAAGAAGACGAGGGGTTACCTGCAAACTCCCTGGATATGTAATGAGTACCAGGTACCACTCTGTCTCATCCCTGACAGAAATTGCTTCCACGATTGGCACAATTCAGATGAAAACTCCTCTACAGACTCTGATGCAGACGGAGTGGGTGCGCTCGTTTTGTCTCGAAGCTGACGATGAAGCTAGCTCAAAACAAAGTGACTTATGTTTAGCATGTGAAGAAATGAGTTTGAATGCTGCGTGAAGAAAGTGTTTGTTCTTGATAAAATAAAATAAACACAGGCTAGATTGTCACTTCATATGCCTTCTCAAGGAAAACTAGCTTGAACAAACAGATGACAGGGCTGAAAAACCTCTGCTATCACACCTTGACTGAGAATGTTGTAGAACAGTAATCTTGTACCAGTAATGTTGTCCCTAATGTTGGGTGGCTATGAAAATGGAGGGCACAAGCTTTGTGCTTTTAGTGCAATGTGTGTGGTCTTCCTTAAAAGCTAAACCAGTTGTATGCCTTGGATTGAATTTAGGTGGGGGTGGGGGAGCTTTGTAAAGTACATGTCTTTTGCTTGTCAATAAAATGAATTGCCAGATGCCAGTCTACCCACATTACTTTTTCTGTGTGTGTGTCCCCCTACCACAACCTGGTGCCATTATAACCAGTGGTGGAAAAAGTACCCAATTGTCATACTTGAGTAAAAGTAAAGATACCTTTAATAGAAAATAACTCACTTTTACTTGAAGTCACCCAGTAAAATACTACTTGAGTATTTGGTTTTAAATATACTTAAGTATCAAAAGTAAATGTTATTGCTAAAATATACTTAAGTATCAAAAGTAAAAGTATAAATTATTTCACATTCCTTATATTAAGCAAACCAAATGGCACGATTTTCTTGTTTTTTATTTATTTACGGATAGCCAGGAGCACACTCCAACACTCAGACATAATTTACAAACAAAGCATTTGTGTTTAGTGAGTCTGCCAGGTCAGAGACAGTAGGGATGACCAGGGATGTTCTCTTGATAAGTGCGTGAATTAGTGTCCTGCAATGCATTCGAAATGTAACGAGTACTTTTGGGTGTCAGGGAAAATGTAAAAAGTACATTATTTTCTTTAGAAATGTAGTGGAGTAAAAGTTGTCAAAAATATAAATAGTAAAGTACAAATACCCCAAAAAACTACTTAAGTAGTACTTTAAAGTATTTTTACTTAAGTACTTTACACCACTGATTATAAACTAATACTAGTGTGACATCTTGGCCTCCTGTAGCTCAGTTGGTAGAGCATGGCGCTTGCAAAACCTTTGCTCACAGTACTGCGAGATTGCGCGCGTACTACACCTATGTCTAATAACCAAAACATAAGGAGAAAATACTCTGCAGCGTCGTGGTGTTGTAGGCCAAAATAATTCACTTGCTTAGTGATGCTTGCTCATATATCCATATTCTAATACCCCTTTACTCAATGGACCTTGATACAAGCGCCAGCGGCTCATATGCATCGACAAATTACCCAGATAAATTACCCGGATGGCTAATACCAGTAGGGGCTGGATCCTTTTGAAGACGTAAGAACTAAGCTGTTTTCATTTGACTGCAGTGTGGTGCTCTTGCAAAGATGGGCTAGACAATTTAGCAATAATTCTCCCAAATGGGCTATTCAAAATTCAGTTATCACATTTCTTTAGCCAATTCTACACCGGTCCCAAATATTTTCTCTAAGGGGCCACGTGTGAAAAATGTAGCTAGCACCAAAGATGGTGGGTGGTATATACAGACTAAAGGTTCTCTCTTTGCTAGGACCGGCTGCACAAAAATGTAAATGAATGCTAGAAAACTTAACACTGTCACTACAACCAAACATGATGTTGGAACAATTTTCCAACCACTAAATGTCTTCAAAATGTCCTACAACTCTACACATTTTGCCATGTCTTATGTGTGTTCATGTGATACGTGTCTCAAACGTTACAACAAAATGTATGTGCTAAAAAAAAACTAGCTAAAAACTGACATGGTTTAGTTCAGGGATGGGCAAAAAAAACGGAACTCATGGGGGGCAGCAGTGGCTAGTGGGTCTGTGTACCCACATCCATCAATCCCCCCACCTTGCCAGCAAAACATTTTAGCGTCCCCCCTTGTGGCAGGGAAGAGAGAATTTCTTTAGTTTTAAAGTTCAATTCCTGCAATTTTGCCATGGGGCATAGAGAAAATTCCGAACCTCTCTAACCCATCTACTTCAACAGACAAAACAAGCCCGTCAAAACAGCAGTGGAAAACTGAGAAAGACCCTGATGAGGCTCCTGCCCGTTTGAAACGTCAGCCAGCCAAGCAGCCAGGAGTACAACTAGAAGACCCCTCATCCGAAAGCACTCCTCCGGACTTATTCAAACAGTTTTTCAGCAAAGCCACTGTCAAAACCCTCTGTCACAATACAAACAAACAAGCTGCTATTAACATTTAAAAAATAAAATAATATGAATGGCAGGATGTTACCATTGTTGAGTTTTACAAATGTATTGGCCTGGTTCTCTTCATAGGTCAGCTGAAGCTGAGAAAGATAGTGGATTACTGGAAAGATTTGAACCTCTTCTCAGTGCTGTTTCCAACTACGTTTATGTCCAGGGATAGATAGTCATATCATGGAACATTCACATGAGTGATGCAGAGGAGGCTGCCGTCAATAACAGGAGGAAGAGAAGACTTGAATATGACAGGCTGTTTCGAATCAAACCACCAATGAATGATATTCGTCATGCCTGCCTGTACAATTACCACCCACGCAAATGCGAATGGATTGTAACTGACCAAATTGCACTGGAAATCGCCTGTCACACAGATCACAGGTCAATCTATATGAATTACAGCACTTCTTATAAACAGCTGGATACTGGAAAAAGGTACTCAATGATTTTAATAAAATAAAATAAAACAATACATCAACTTTTGACTGAATTATAGCACATAAACCATTGTATAACTAGGTCCAGATAATGAAAGGAATTCAGACAGGTTCGGTGATCATTCATGTATTTGATTTAATATCAAATATATATTTTATTATAAATGACTCAAACAAAAGCTACTTCCTCAACAAAAAACATACAACAACAACAAAACTACAGGATACCCCAAAAAAAAAAAATATATATATATATATACATATATATACAGTGGGGAAAAAAAGTATTTAGTCAGCCACCAATTGTGCAAGTTCTCCCACTTAAAAAGATGAGAGAGGCCTGTAATTTTCATCATAGGTACAAGTCAACTATGACAGACAAATTTAGAATTTTTTTTCCAGAAAATCACATTGTAGGATTTTTTATGAATTTATTTGCAAATTATGGTGGAAAATAAGTATTTGGTCACCTAGAAACAAGCAAGATTTCTGGCTCTCACAGACCTGTAACTTCTTCTTTAAGAGGCTCCTCTGTCCTCCACTCGTTACCTGTATTAATGGCACCTGTTTGAACTTGTTATCAGTATAAAAGACACCTGTCCACAACCTCAAACAGTCACACTCCAAACTCCACTATGGCCAAGACCAAAGAGCTGTCAAAGGATACCAGAAACAAAATTGTAGACCTGCACCAGGCTGGGAAGACTGAATCTGCAATAGGTAAGCAGCTTGGTTTGAAGAAATCAACTGTGGGAGCAATTATTAGGAAATGGAAGACATACAAGACCACTGATAATCTCCCTCAATCTGGGGCTCCACGCAAGATCTCACCCCGTGGGGTCAAAATGATCACAAGAATGGTGAGCAAAAATCCCAGAACCACACGGGGGGACCTAGTGAATGACCTGCAGAGAGCTGGGACCAAAGTAACAAAGCCTATCATCAGTAACACACTACGCCGCCAGGGACTCAAATCCTGCAGTGCAAGACGTGTCCCCCTGCTTAAGCCAGTACATGTCCAGGCCCGTCTGAAGTTTGTTAGAGTGCATTTGGATGATCCAGAAGAGGATTGGGAGAATGTGATATGGTCAGATGAAACCAAAATAGAACTTTTTGGTAAAAACTCAACTCGTCGTGTTTGGAGGACAAAGAATGCTGAGTTGCATCCAAAGAACACCATACCTACTGTGAAGCATGGGGGTGGAAACATCATGCTTTGGGGCTGTTTTTCTGCAAAGGGACCAGGACGACTGATCCGTGTAAAGGAAAGAATGAATGGGGCCATGTATCGTGAAATTTTGAGTGAAAACCTCCTTCCATCAGCAAGGGCATTGAAGATGAAATGTGGCTGGGTCTTTCAGCATGACAATGATCCCAAACACACCGCCCGGGCAACGAAGGAGTGGCTTCGTAAGAAGCATTTCAAGGTCCTGGAGTGGCCTAGCCAGTCTCCAGATCTCAACCCCATAGAAAATCTTTGGAGGGAGTTGAAAGTCCGTGTTGCCCAGCAACAGCCCCAAAACATCACTGCTCTAGAGGAGATCTGCATGGAGGAATGGGCCAAAATACCAGCAACAGTGTGTGAAAACCTTGTGAAGACTTACAGAAAACGTTTGACCTGTGTCATTGCCAACAAAGGGTATATAACAAAGTATTGACAACATTTTTGTTATTGACCAAATACTTATTTTCCACCATAATTTGCAAATAAATTCATTAAAAATCCTACAATGTGATTTTCTGGATTTTTTTTTCTCATTTTGTCTGTCATAGTTGACGTGTACCTATGATGAAAATTACAGGCCTCTCTCATCTTTTTAAGTGGGAGAACTTGCACAATTGGTGGCTGACCAAATACTTTTTTTCCCCACTGTATATATATAGCAATCAAAATAAACAAGACCGCCTGCAAAAAGATTAGCACCACCATACAATTTTAAGTAACCTTTATTTAAACTGAGTAATTTTGAGACCCAGGTCTCTTTTTTGTAATACATAAAAATACACATAATAAATATGAAATGTAGTCAATAAATGCTAATACAATCATCAACCAGTTATAATACAAATTATACAATATTACAAACATTTAAAAAAGAAAACACATTTCTCAATAATGACTTGAACTGCCCTAGAGGCAACAGAGCATCAAGGTGCAGAGAGCTCTGCAGATCATTCCATACACGGGGTGCAAAAAAAACTGAATGCAGATTTACCTATTTCTGTACTGATCAACCGGAACTATAAAGTTAACCATCCCTGTGAACGGGTCTGGCGACTCTGTGGAATGGCAGAAGTTTGCGCAACAGGGTTTTATGAACAAAAATAGAGCAGTGCATTGATCTATGAGATTTAAGAGAGGACTTTCTGATACATAATGTAGTGATGTGTACTTAACCTATTGCCTGTAATAAAGCGTACTGGACTATGATAAACTGCATCTAATGAGTTCAATGCAGTAGCAGCTGCATTCATATAGACCAGGGGTACTCAACTCTTACCCTACGAGGTCCGGAGCCTAGTTGGTTTTCTGTTCTACCTGATCATTTATTGCACATACCTGGTGTCCCAGGTCTAAATCAGTGGAATTGGCTTTGAGTTCCAGGGTTGAGTTTGAGGGATATAGACTATATCGTCATAGTCTAAAGCCGCGATGAATGTCGACTGAATGATTTGTTTTCTGCTATATAACGCGCGGCATGACTTATTCCTATAAAAGAAGGGCTTTTTTTTTTTTTTTTTTTTTTTTAACTCATCAACATGCTTCCAATGTACATATGCATAAATCATCAGATACATTTGATACAGATGCAGGTTTTACCTGCAGTACCAATTTCAGTTCAACAAAGGCTTTCTGCAAGGCAATAAAGGCAGATTGAAGCTCCAAAAGAGCCTGGTCAACCGTGGGAGCAATAACATACACAACAGGGTTACCTGCATACAGGTGGATGTTACAGTTCTTTTGCAATGACACCAATATTGTTTATATATACAGTTTAAAGTACAGGACCTAAAATCGACCCCTGTGGGACACCGTTCATAATACAGTATTATGAACATATTGTATTATTAATAAAATAATATTACACCAGGTGTGTGCATGTGGATCTTGTCCCCACGTACAGTGAGGAAGATGGTTCTGGAGGCAAAGAAAAGTCCAAGGAGAATTACAGAACTTGGTCCCATCTTGGGGTCACCAAGTCTGTTAATCTACAATTAGATGCCACCTCCATGCCAATGCCAGGTTCTTTGGAAGGGTTGGCAGAAAAAAGCTTTTATTGCGAGTAACCAATAAATGTAAACGCTTGGAGCTTTCTAAATGGCATTGGCACTTGGATTGTAATCAGGTGCTATGGTCAGATGAGACAAAATAGAGGTGTTTGGCCACACACACCAACGGTGGGTTTGGCGTTGAAAGAAAGATGGAAACTTGGTCAAAAGTGGATCTTCAAGCAAGACCCCAAGCACACATAGATTCAAACATTATTCCTGATAAAAGAAAGAAAATGGAAAATAAGTAGATTGTGTGCAGGGAAATCCTGACATGGGCGGGGCATTCACATTACTACAATCAAATGTAGCTACACTTAATAATAATTTGGCAGGATCTGTGCCACAGGAACAGCTGAAGATGTGTCATGAAGTTCTCCCTGTTCATATATGACAGCTGGCCTTTCGTTCTTTTTAACAGAGAATTGTTTTGTTCTGCCACCTGGGAATTTATCCTCTGAAATTGAGGGTAGCTGTCCATTTGTACCCTACGTTGCATCCTGAAAAGAATGTCAAAATAGAAAGTGGTTTCAGATTATGTTTTTCAAGTGGATACAACTTTAAGGGCACAAATAATAACATCCAGATGAGAAAATTGCAGCAACAAGTACATAATCATCACATTAAATTGAATGTGTAATGTACAGTGTCTATTTGGTATACAGCAGTAAGTACTGTGTGTCAAAGACAATTTCCCCCTTGGGGACATTAAAGTTCATCCTATCCTATTCTATCAATACATCAACACATATATCATATACAACAACAAGAACAATATATGCTTATGTAATGGTTAAGTGTTAAATGGTTTTGGGAGATAATTATGAGGCAAAACAGACCTGAGTGGTTCCTCCAGTGAAACTGACCCACAAGAAACCATGTCTCCCAGAAGAAGCCGTGGAGTCTCCTCAGGCAGTGTGTGCGACTGGCAGGCATTGTCGTAGATGACAATCTTGGGACCTAAACACAATATGTAAAGGACAAAACAGGAACTAATTTGTTCCTGACACTTTTACTTGGGAGGAGATTAAACAGAAACAGGTCAAAGACCGAGAACATACAAGAGCATACTGACAGAGTTGAAATCTTGTCCGGAGGATAGTGAATGTAACATTAACAGACTTGAAGCCGAGATATAATAATAATAATAATAATATGCCATTTAGCAGACGCTTTTATCCAAAGCGACTTACAGTCATGTGCGCATACATGTTTACGTATATATATATACACCTATAAAATGAAGTATCTACATAATCAATAACGCAGTGGTGATGTTCAATGTATTTCTTATTAAACGGTTTCTTGTAGGAAAGTATAAACCACAGTAACTTGTCATTTACCATGTGTGCAGAACAAAGTGAAAATGCCACGAATGAGAGTGGGATGTCTGCCTGCTGTCTTCCTGCAGTCAACTGCCTCGTGTCTGGTGCCAGCATCTGTACAACCCCCTCACAGGAGGAAGATTGGGGAAGTTACAGTGGGGAAAAAAAGTATTTAGTCAGCCACCAATTGTGCAAGTTCTCCCACTTAAAAAGATGAGAGAGGCCTGTAATTTTCATCATAGGTACACGTCAACTATGGCAGACAAATTGAGAAAAAAAATCCGGAAAATCACATTGTAGGATTTTTTATGAATTTATTTGCAAATTATGGTGGAAAATAAGTATTTGGTCACCTACAAACAAGCAAGATTTCTGGCTCTCACAGACCTGTAACTTCTTCTTTAAGAGGCTCCTCTGTCCTCCACTCGTTACCTGTATTAATGGCACCTGTTTGAACTTGTTATCAGTATAAAAGACACCTGTCCACAACCTCAAACAGTCACACTCCAAACTCCACTATGGCCAAGACCAAAGAGCTGTCAAAGGACACGAGAAACAAAATTGTAGAACTGCACCAGGCTGGGAAGACTGAATCTGCAATAGATAAGCAGCTTGTTTTGAAGAAATCACTGTGGGAGCAATTATTAGGAAATGGAAGACATACAAGACCACTGATAATCTCCCTCGATCTGGGGCTCCACGCAAGATCTCACCCCGTGGGGTCAAAATGATCACAAGAACGGTGAGCAAAAATCCCAGAACCACACAGGGGGACCTAGTGAATGACCTGCAGAGAGCTGGGACCAAAGTAACAAAGCCTACCATCAGTAACACACTACGCCGCCAGGGACTCAAATCATGCAGTGCCAGACGTGTCCCCCTGCTTAAGCCAGTACATGTCCAGGCCCGTCTGAAGTTTGCTAGAGTGCATTTGGATGATCCAGAAGAGGATTGGGAGAATGTCATATGGTCAGATGAAACCAAAATAGAACTTTTTGGTAAAAACTCAACTCGTCGTGTTTGGAGGACAAAGAATGCTGAGTTGCATCCAAAGAACACCATACCTACTGTGAAGCATGGGGGTGGAAACATCATGGTTTGGGGCTGTTTTTCTGCAAAGGGACCAGGACTACTGATCTGTGTAAAGGAAAGAATGAATGGGGCCATGTATCGTGAGATTTTGAGTGAAAACCTCCTTCCATCAGCAAGGGCATTGAAGATGAAACGTGGCTGGGTCTTTCAGCATGACAATGATCCCAAACACACCGCCCGGGCAACGAAGGAGTGGCTTCGTAAGAAGCATTTCAAGGTCCTGGAGTGGCCTAGCCAGTCTCCAGATCTCAACCCCATAGAAAATCTTTGGAGGGAGTTGAAAGTCCGTGTTGCCCAGCGACAGCCCCAAAACATCACTGCTCTAGAGGAGATCTGCATGGAGGAATGGGCCAAAATAACAGCAACAGTGTGTGAAAACCTTGTGAAGACTTACAGAAAACGTTTGACCTGTGTCATTGCCAACAAAGGGTATATAACAAAGTATTGAGAAACTTTTGTTATTGACCAAATACTTATTTTCCACCATCATTTGCAAATAAATTCCTAAAAAATCCTACAATGTGATTTTCTGGAATTTTTTTCTCATTTTGTCTGTCATAGTTGACGTGTACCTATGATGAAAATTACAGGCCTCTCTCATCTTTTTAAGTGGGAGAACTTGCACAATTGGTGGCTGACTAAATATATTTTTTCCCCACTGTATGATCCCTATCGCCTTAGTTGACACAAGAATAATAACTTAATTATTCCATGCATTCATAATACACATAATCGAGTCGAATTTCATAATGATAATATTTTAAATTGGGCAACAACAAAAGAAATATAGCACAAATAATTAAACAAGAGAATATGGCTCCAACAATCACCTTGTCTCATTAGTGGAGTGGAGACCGCAGAGGTACATAGTGTGTCCTGAACCTTTCGGAATACTTCCCTGAAAATGTGAACAACCTCCTGGTGAAATGTACCCTCCCATCCCTATGAAATCAAAAAGAAAAGGGCACTCCTCTGCCAGTCTCCTCATTAGTTCTGGTTGGCTGTTGATGTGGAGAAACTGCATAGCCTTCATTTCTTCGATCAAGCAGCACACGGTGTCGCTGTAGTGGAGAAGAGCACAGGCTGGGGAGTTCTTGCTGACTTCTCCCGAGAAAGTGCGGTAGGGCTCGCTTGGTCGAATGGGGGTCAGTGATTGCCCGTTTCTGAAGTAGAGGCAAGAGAAAGGTGGCACTCTTCTCAGCACGAGACAGCAGATCCTTGTGCTCCACATAAAGCTGGCCTTCAGAAACGTACTTCTGTGAAAGCTTCCTCACAGGTGCCTCAGGAATTAGTGTCCTGCAGTTGTGACTGGTAAAGTCAAGAAATAACAACTGAATAATTTTTTGTGAAAAACAAAATGTTGATATGATATTTACAGAGGGCCAAGTAAAGGCAGGTTAACAATTCTCACTGCCAACTGTTTGTTTTCCTTTGAGTATAAAATAGTAAGCGCATGTGAATGGTTAAGAAGATGTTTTAAGACATTCAAACAAGGACAAACTGATAAATATTTATCTTCCAGTGTCCAGTATTGGTGATGGGGCTTGAAGGTCGCTGGCAGGTCTCTGTTGTAGGGAGTACCGTTGCTGGTATTCCAAAATGGTGCCATCCAGAACCACCTCACTGAAAACAATGGACATGTGCAACATACAGTACTCGTTGAAGTAAATTGCATACATTGCAATGTAATACATTAAGTGCATGCATGCATAAAATAAATGTACTTGATGTTGTCCTGGCAGATTGGACATTTGTATCCAGCTACAAAATCAGCTGACAGAAGACCTAGAAATGACATTACTGCGTCTAAATTTGGTCTTCTGTCGCTTTGTCTTTCAGATTATGGCCCCAGACCTGAAGGTAGTTGTACATATTTGTGCTAGGATACAGACAAAGAAAAATTATTGTCTTGACAACATTACACAGGATTGAGATCTATCAGTATTGTTCATGGAATTTATATAGGGGTGGCCATCACAATAATATAGGGAACTTGCCATGAATTGAGAAAATGGTACAAATAGTCCCTGAGGACTTCATGGTGGACCATGTACGTGCCCATGTTAAGGAGGAAATCCTCTCCCCCCAGGCCTCCCGAGTGGCGCAGCAGTCTAAGGTACTGCATCGCAGTGCTAGAGGCGTCACTACAGACCCAAGTTCAATCCCGGGCTGTATCACAACCGGCCGTGATCGGGAGTCCCATAGGGCGGCGCACAATTGGCCCAGTGTCATCTGGGTTAGGGGAGGGTTTGGGTGGAGGGGCTTTACTTGGTTTATTGCGCTCTAGCGACTGTCAAATAAGGTTGTTGACCAATCAGGACCTGAATATGACTGCACTTCACATCATATTTTAACGCGTTCATTATTTTTTTACGTAGTTATTACACATTGATTACACTATCACTCGTATTTCATATGTCACAACGATTCATTGATACGTATGCTATGACGCTGGTAAAGTTTTGTCTCGCGCACCTACAGTGCTGGTCATTAAAAAAGCTAGCTAGCTGATGGATGCAAACCATGTTCTTCCCCAAAAACATAACAAAACGACATAATCTGTTTCAGTAGTTAGCTAGCTAAATATCTAGCTAGCTGTCATCATCTAAAATAACCCTAATTTATAAGAAAGTTCTTATTTGATGGTCGGACCATCTATGTGAAGCTAGCCATAATAAGAATTAGCCACAATAGTGGACTTTGCGGTTAGCCTTCAAAATAAAAGTATGTCATTGACAATGACGCAAATTAATACAAATAGTAGAATTATGCCATAATTAAATAGATCATGCTAAATGAGGTTGGAATGTTAAATAAAATCTACAAAAGACAATAATTTGATAATTTTACAAAACTCTGTTGAAATCACACTGGATGTATTAGACTTTAGAATTGCATTGGGGACATACTTATTTCACTGTATAGCCTTACCTATGAATTGTGGATCAAAGACATGGGGTATCAGTCTACTCAGTGACACCCAGAGAACATTAGCCTCGTAGCTCTTACTGCGGGACTCTGAAACAACTGTGAATTGTGTATTGAACACGATTCTAGAGGAAAACAATACAGCGTGGATGTTCTGGAGTCTGATAACTCTGAGGAGGACGTTGGGAAAAAAGCTCTTGGGTACTGAGTAGACTGATACCCCATTTAATTGATCCCCAATCCTTAGGTAGGCTGTACAGTGCAATATGAATGTCAATACACACAGTAGGCTGACTGTGGAGGTGATTTCACACAGTCACAGTCCTGCGATAAGCTACAATGCTAATATTTGCATAAACTCTTCACAGTTGTGTTCTGTGGGTGTCACCGAGTAGACTGATACCCCATTTAATTGCTCCACATTAAAACCTTGTTTAACATTATCTAGTCTAAATCCATTTAAGTAATGTTTTTATCCAAAGCGATTTACAGGTCAACATCGGTCATTTCAGTTCTTGATACTTACTGATTGATTCATGAAGAATATAGGCTAACTTATAAAAGCCTTGAGCATAGTATAGTATGTTTTTATCATAACAAATAATAATTACGAATATCTATTGGATGTCATGGACTGTCAGCCCTTGCATCTAGAGCACTGTCCATAAATGTGTGAGGGGTTACATGTCCCTAGCCCCATCCCTCAGCTGTATACCAAAATAAGTGGGAGTGATCACAGAATGTAGGCTAGCTTTAATGCCAAAAAAAAAGAACCTCCTCATCCATCGTGCTGTTTTGCAGTATTTAATTTAGTAACTGCATGTCTGTTTGTATTTTTAGTGATGAAACTGTGGAGGATGAAGCACCACCTCCAAGTGTCATACCTGCAGACCAGGAGTGCAGCACGCAGAAGCTGCAGAAGAAACATCCCCTCATAAAAGAATGTTGAACATCTTTTCACAGGAGTCTTCACAGCCCAATATTCCAAAGCTCTCTACCCCATCTACTTCAACAGACAAAACAAGCTGCAGAAGAAACATCCCCTCGTAAAAGAATGTTGAACATCTTTTCACAGGAGTCTTCACAGCCCAATATTCCAAAGCTCTCTACCCCATCTACTTCAACAGACAAAACAAGCTGCAGAAGAAACATCCCCTCGTAAAAGAATGTTGAACATCTTTTCACAGGAGTCTTCACAGCCCAATATTCCAAAGCTCTCTACCCCATCTACTTCAACAGACAAAACAAGCCTGTCAAAACAGCCGTAGAAAACTAAGAAAGACCCTGATGAGGCTCTTGCCGATTTGAAATTTAGTCCAGCCAAGCAGCCAGGAGTACAGCTAGAAGACCCCTCATCTGACCGCACTCCTCTGGACTTATTCAAACTGTTTTTCAGTGTGAACACTGTCAGAACCCTCTGCCTCCACACAAACAAACAAGCTGATTCAGACATACAACATAAAATGGAAAGGGAAAAAAAGAGGAAAAGCGTTGGTATAAATTAGTTTGATAATTTCATTGGAATGGTCATCCTCCTAGGTCAGCGGAAGTTTAGTAATATGGTGGATTACTGGAGGGAAAATAATATATTCTCAATGTCGTTTCTAACCGCTTTGTTGACTTGTAAAAGATACAGGTACATATCACGGAACGTCCACATCAGGCCTCCTGTAGCTCAGTTGGTAGAGCATGGCGCTTGCAATGCCAGGGTTGTGGGTTCGATTCCCACAGGGGGCCAGTATGAAAAATGTGTGCACTCACTAACTGTAAGTCGCTCTGGATTAGAGCGTCTGCTAAATGACTAAAATGTTACCCCAGAGATAATGTTGAAAATGACAGAAAAAAGGCACACCTGAATATGACAGGCTTTTCTGCCTCAAACCATTAATGAATGACATTCGTCATGCCTGCATGTCCTTTTACCACCTGTGGAGAGACCTGAATATACACGAATGGATTGTGACATCAGAAACGGGAACCAAAGAGAGGGGTTTAAAGCTTTTTGCGTTAACTGACTCCAACAATTTCTATACAGTGGACCTTATTGTTTACAAAGGCAAAACCACATTCCCCACTGGTTCTGGGATGTCTTATGATGCAGTGATGTCACTCATGAGGCCCTCCTTCCCCGGATCAGGTTACCATCTGTACCTGGACTACTTCTTCTCCAGTCCAAAACCATTCAAGGATTTATTAGATCTGGACTTTGGAGCATGTGGCACCATGAGGGAAGGCAGATTGGGCTTCCCAAGATCAGAAGAAAATGCACTGACCAAGAAATCCCCAAGAGGATCTTTACGGTGGATAAGTGAGGGCTCCCTGCTCTTTGAAGTGGAAGGATGCCCGGGAAGTGTCGATGGGTACCACCATTCATCAAGTGTATTGCGGGGACACTGTAGAAAGGAGGGTGAAAAACAAGGATAACAGCTGGAGCTGTATGTCTATTCCAGTCCCTACTTCAGTTGTGGCATATGCTAAACACAAGGAAAGTGTTAACTCGTCAGATCATCTGATTCAATACTTTTCAGGCCAACAGGAAACAGTAAGGGGGTACAACAGCTTATTTTACCACTTTGTGGACATGGCGACTACAAACAGCCATGTCATTCATACGGAGCTGTGCAAGAAGGATGGGACTGCACCCATGACCCACCAAGCATTCATAGAAGAGCTTACAAACCAGCTTTGTGGGGTGTCTGTTGATCTACTAGAACAAGTGAAGGTGAGAAATGTACAATTGAGGATTAAATCTACACACGTACCTATCCCTGTCAGGAAAAAGGGTGTTATAAAAAAGGTAATAAAGAAGTGCATACAATGCAGGAAGAATGGAGTCACTATGGATTGTGGATTGAAGTGCCAACAGTGCCAGGTAGCACTCTGCGTCAGGCCTGACCGAAACTGCTTTCATGAATGGCACCAGTGAGGCCCCTTTTGAGTTGAGCGGAGGACAGCAGTGAAAGAGAAACTGCTAGTGTTATTTACATTACATTTACATCATTTAGCAGACACTCTTATCCAGAGTGACTTACAAATTGGTGCATTCAATTTATGATAGCCAGTGGGACAACCACCTTTTTTTTTTATGGGGGTTGGGGGAAGAAGGATTACTTTATACTATTCCAGGTATTCCTTAAAGAGGTAGGGTTTCAAGTGTCTCCGGAAGGTGTTATGTGCTAGTGGTACATAAAACTGTCTCGAAGAGATACTGACCAGAAGCGCACATTTACTACAGATTATGGAAAGAGTACTACAGAGTATGTACATTCAGCGCCCCCTATGAAAAAACGTACCTCAGTGACGATCAATTGTTAACCACAAGCAGGACAGGCTATACCCAAACAAAGCTTTATGTGAAGGTTTATCAAGTTTACTGATGTAATGTAAAAATGTACTTGATAAAAATCACGTTTGGTTAAGCATTGGAGCTGTTTGTTGTGTAAAAGACCTTGTGTTAGCTGAGTATTGTAAATATGAGGAAGCGGGGGGAGGTAAGTAACCCTTGGACAAGTAAGCCTTGTCTGAGTCAGAAGGGCACTGTAGCGTGAGGCAGCTTGACGTAGGCCTACAAGCACACCCCCTGGACAGGATGTGCAGGGCCTTACAGCCCAACCCATCTCCTTAATGCTGAGTGCCAAGCAGAGGCGCGTCAGGTCCCATCTTTAGAGTCTTTGGTATGACTCGACCCGGGCTCGAACCCCCAGCCTACTAAATATCACAAGGCTACTGAATCTGGGGGCTAGCCTTGTATATAAAAGTTGTGTTAAAGACAGGCCTACACTGAAGAGGCAAATGGCTTCAGGTTCATTTGACACATTTTTTGTGAAGTCATGTCTTTGATCTACTGAATGTATTCATAGTGGGTGTATTTTGTTTTGGGATCACGGATCTGCATCCTAGGGCTCGATTCAATCCGTAGCGCAAAATATATGTGTTGTAGCGTGGTTGAAATGTAAAGGCAATTTCCGATTGAGCCGACTTATGCAGCGTTTAACGTTAATGCAGTCTCTGTGAATGCGGAAACATTGCCTTTAAATGTCAATCGTGCTATAACAGCGCTACGGCTTGAATCGAGCCTTTAACCTATTGAACGTGTCTTTATACTTGTCTGAAAGGAAAATGCATTCAGTACTACACGGTGTTTGATCAGTATTGTTTTTAGTCAATGGGGCCTCGCTTTTGTGTTATTGTTTTAGATTGCTTGCAAAATAACCTGATTGCTTGTCAACACACCTGTGAGCAGTACAGCCTCGAACTGTATAACTATTGGTTGTTATAACCATTTCCTAGTCATTGATTAGATAGTTACATTTGATTATTTTACTTCCTTTTACTATTCATTGGTTACTGATAGTTTTGTCCTATTTGACCTGTTAGTAAGGTTTAAATTGTTATTTGGGTCCATGCAACCACTTATGTGAGATTTCCTTGTCTATTGATTAATACATTCATTATCATTGAATGCAATTTTCCTCTTTGTTCAACTCACTACACCTAAAATGTGTCTGCATAAAAACACTTAGGCCGGGAATCAATTTGATCGCAGGTCATTGGCATTGCGGATTTTTAAGGCAATGTTACTGCATTCACCATAAACGCTGCTATCGGAAATTGCCTTTAAAAGCTTCAATGCCTGTAACCCGCGATCGGATTGAATCCCAGCTCTACACATACTCATCAATAAACGATACAGAAGCTGTCATCTCCTTCTTCATTGCACAGTGTGCTATAGACCTCATGAGGGTGCCAAATATCTGAGTTAAAAAATGTGCATGTGGTTGCAACCTGAATCATTTCTTCTTTTGAATCCCTCACAAAATATGGCTTTCATTCTTCTCCAAGGATATAACTTACATTTTACACTTTAGTCATTTAGCAGACGCTCTTATCCAGAGCGACTTACAGTTAGTGAATACATATATATATTTTTTTATACTGGCCCCCCGTGGGAATCGAACCCACAACCCTGGCGTTGCAAACGCCATGCTCTATCAACTGAGCTACATCCCTGCCGGCCATTCCCTCCCCTACCCTGGACGACGCTGGGCCAATTGTGCGCCGCCCATGAGTCTCCCGGTCGCGGCCGGCTGCGACAGAGCCTGGATTCGAACCAGGATCTCTAGTGGCACAGTTAGCACTGCGATGCAGTGCCTTAGACCACTGCGCCACTCAGGAGCCCTGTCAAGAATGTAATCATAATCACATTCTTGACAGGACAGTAGACTAGGCTAAAATTATTTTATTCTTTCTTCTTAAAACATGTTTTAGAAACTTCACATGGACATGTTCGGAACATCAGAATCTGACAGCTCAAGGTATAAGCTAAATTAACGATGTAAATTATCTATTTGGATTTTTATAATAGAACGCAATCTTAATGTATGTTAAGACCAAGTAAAAAATAAAAAACACTATTGACTGGACATGTAGAGGACACGGTCCACTTGGAACAGTGCATAAAAAGGAATTACGTTCCAACTCGGGTCGGAATTGGGCCCCTATTGACTTAGTTCACGTACGACAGGTGCCGCTCAGTTGTATGAAGTATTTGACACGTACAACATGCATTTGAAGATTTTTATTAGATAGCTTTAATTGTAGGGGGACATACAGCTGTGTTTAATATAACTCAGGAGCATCTGGGGCATCTCCATGAAATCACCATGGAGATGCAGGTGACTTCTGGTTTGCTATATTTACAAAAAAGTAAACCTCATTGGTCAAGTGAGTGAGTGGTATGATACATTAATAAGATGTAAAATGAAATACATTTCAGATGCATGTCAGAGAGCATTCTTCTGAAGTGATTTTTATAGCAATTGAAAACACATACATTGCATATAAATTCAATATTGACATACATACAGTAATCAAATGTAACCAGTTTACATTCATCTGACTTGTAAAATCTATCCAACAACTTTTTTCTGTCAAAGTGGCCATATGAGGGGATATAGATACCGTGGTTTTAGTGTTGTATGCATTTCATGACGTGTCTGGCAGGTGACATTAGCATAGAATTATTTGATATTCATATTTCTGCTCAACTTGAGGCAGAGAAGGTGCCAGTGCTATGCACACACTCAATCAACTCACTTGTTAACCTCAACTTAAAACAAAGTATTGGTTCCTTGCACACACACACTCTGCAGGTGCTATTACTCTATTTAAAGAAAGTTCCACCCCAAAACTATATTTTGGTATTTGTTTCATTAGTCCATTGTTGACATATGCAAACATTTTGGGACTGTCAGCAATCAAGTTAAGCTATAACTTTAAAAACACAGAAATACAACCGGTATGAACTTGATTGCTGACATGCTAAATATTTTGGGGACTAGATCAACAATAGACTAATGAAACAAATACCAAAATATAGTTTTGGGGTGGAATTTTCCTTTTACAGTAATACCCCTATGGGCACTGTTACCTCACTGTAGGCATCTCCAGACACATCTACTTTGTGTCCTATAATCCTTAGCTTCATTTGAATAGCATACTTGTTGGACCAGGCAATTATCAACCATCCAGCCCTTCTTGGAGCATTTGCAACCCCCTCAGCTAGCCTCTTTCGCCCCACACTTGGGTCTATATTCAATCCACATTGCGAAAATCCAGCTTTACAACGTGATTGAAATTTAAAGGCAATATTCCCGCTTTAGCAGACATTGCATTCAGGCTGCGTATGTCGGCTCATTCCGAAATTACCTTTACATTTCTATCGGAATCTGTAACGCTTCAGCTTTACAGATTGAATAGAGCCCTTATTAAATACAATGTCTTTGTAAAGCAGAGTTGTGCCTCACCCTATGTCCATACCATTTCGAACATATTTGAGAGATCTTTCAAAAACATGACACAGACCTAACATTGCTGATATACTTTCAGATCGACTCATCTTTTCCATCTAACCCCCCTTGTCATAAAAATATACAGTATATAAAGAAGCTTGAAGAGCATGAAACAAAAAACAGCAACTGTCGACCTACAATGTACACTTCAACTGCCAGGCGAAACAGAACCTCTGATATGGAGTCCGTGCAGGAGTCAAGATTTTAAATGAATTTGTAATGACAACGCAGACAAAAACATACTTTTTGTCCATTTCCACACCACATGATTAAATAAGGCACACATTAACACATACAAATCAAAGTTTGGATAGTATTATTCCACAGTTGCCTTTATTTACACCAATATCCACAATGTTAATAGCAATATGGTAAACATAATTACTGACTTTATTACACAGTTATTAAGGGCTTGTCCATAAGAGGGCACTATGTGCCCGTGAGTGATTTCTTGGGGCTCCGCTTTAAATATAATTTTATAATAATATAATACATAGCCTGAATGATTGCACCTCAATGTAGAACCAATTCTCACCAAATGTTAAGGATGAAACAAATTACTTGAGGTTGCAGTGCACTGCACCCCTATACTCTTATTGAATGACAATGACAATCATATCGGGGGCTTGTTACATTTCTCTGGAATGATCATAGCATTTATGTCCCAAAAGTAAGAATTCCAAATGCAGTTCAAGGATCCTCCTAACTCATCAGGCCCCGAGGTGGCCTCCTGTCACAGGGCAGCGGAGCCCCACATCCACCAGTGACAAACATAATAGTAACACTGTGATGCATGTTGGGTCTATACTGACGCCATGTGTCTCGTTCCTCAGCATCATTCCATTAATACAGAATGAATCATTTTCCAAGCATTATCAAAGTAGTCATTTCATATGGTATGCTGCATGAAGTATAGTACCTACCCTTACATCAAGGGGTACAGTTGATACTTAGCTGCACAACGGTAAGTTATTGCAAAATCCCTTGCGTCGAGGGATGTATATACCGAATGTGTGTACTGAGCGTGGCCTGCATGGTATCTCTCTGTCATAAGAGGGTTAAGAAATGGCTATGAGTTGACCGTCTCACCACAGTTCATGTAGCTGCTTCATGGTTACGCCCTGTGTGTATCTACACATGTGTAGTGCATATACAGGTATACACATACAGTATACATACATTACAGGCAGGATGAGCACTGTTTGTGTCGTGAGGTGCTCTCTTAGGTTGAGGCCTTGGGTCCAAGCTAAAGCAGGCATTGTCCACAGCTTCAGTGGCCGACTTGTGATCTGTTCTTTACATTGAGTTCTGGGCCCTGTTACTTTATTCTTTGGCCTCAAACGAGGGTATAGATCCTCCCCAAGTCAATTTAATACTACCACATGTTCTATATCCTGTGAATCCATCACTGTTCTGTGATCAAGTAGCATTGCAATAATACCAATATGGTATAAGGACATTCATCAGGTGTGGAGGCTATTGTCGGACGTCTCGCCAAAAGGTGTGCCAGTCCCGGGAGTTGCCCCCTCGAGCTCCACTCAATCCCCCCCATCAGAGGGGAGTTGCCCTAACTCTGAGAGGAGCGCGGTTACGTCGTCTGTCATGTCGGAGCCTCTCGGTCCGACTCCTCAGCGCTCAGTAGTTGTACTTGCCTTGCTCATTTACGGGCAGGAAGAGGGGCTTGGGGGGTACCTGGGGCTTTAGGGAGGCAGTGCGGCGTACGATGGCGGCGCGGTGGAGGTGGGGCGGTTCGCTGTAGCTGTGCTGCCGTGTCAGGCAGGCACTGGGGATGAGCGGCCGGTGGGCCTCAAAGCCGACCCCTCCCCCGACACCACCGCCGCCTCCCGAGTTCATCCGGGTGAGCAGCTGGTGGGGTGGTGGCCCAACCCCGCCCTGTCTGAAGCTGTGCTGGCGCGGGACGGCCCCTCCATTGCCCATCTTGATCATTAAATGCCTCTGGGAGTGGTGGCGAGTCACTGCGCTCCGCTCGGGGATGGACTGCTGCTGCAGCGGGGTGGCGCCGGCCGAGGAGGAGGCGGCGGCGTCTGGGGGCACGTCCAGGCGGCGGTTCAGACTGTCCCTGGGCAGGGTGGAGGAACTGTAGTACGGGGCCGACTCCGTCTCGGGGATCTGGGGCTGGGATCTGAAGCTGCTCTGGCTGTGACCGTGGTTATGGCTGGAGCTACCCGGCAGGGGGGCACACGGTGAGGTCAGCACAGTGATGCTGTGACTGCCTGAGGCACTGACCTCGTGGATGTGCTGGAGGAGCTCGTCCAGGGCCGCCACGTCCACCACCGTCTGCGGGTAGCAGGAGGAGGACTGGGAGGCTGAAGCCCCCTGTGCACGCTCGTCGTTGGGGATCTTCCTCTCCTCAGGCAGGTGCCCCAGGGCTTGGCCGATGGTCAGGCTGTGGGAGAAGGGGAACACCTGCTGGGTGACCCCCGAGCTGGACCTCGACGAACCCAGGCCGAAGCCAGTGCCGGGGGGTGCCTTGGACTCCTTGGCGTTGTTGCAGTTCTGGTTCCTCTCCCACTGGTTCCGGAAGGCTTTCATGTTCTTGATGGGCAGCTCCGGGGTGGAGTCAGGGGTAGGTAGGCCTGAGAGGTTCTCCCCTTGGGAGAGGTTAAGGTCCGGGTCTCCCAGGGACATCCTGTGCCTGCCCGGAGTGTGCTCCTTCCCGTTGGGAATGAAGGCGCTGTACATCTTGGGCGTAGACACGTCCAGCTTCTCCTCTTTGGGCTGACTGTCCAGCAGGCCGTTTAGCTTGGCCAGGCTGCGCAGCGAGAGGGCGGGGTGGAGGGACGCCTCAGGGTCCTTACCAAGCCGGTGGGCGCGGCGGGCGTTGTGACTGCAGTAGCATGATACCAGGAAGCCGGAGAGGATGGCACCGAGGAAGAAGGCCACCAGGACGCAGGCGATCAGGAGAGTGTAGTGGACGCTGGGGCTGGACTTCTCCATGTCAGGGAGCCTTCGGACACCTAAAGGAGAAAAAGAAAGAAAGAACATAAGAAAGAAAGTGAGGTCATGACTTAGCCCATTCGAAAATACAATTCTGTCATGATATCAAAAGGATTTCACATTCAACCGTCCCCCCATTGTGGCTGTAACAGCATGACTCATCCTAAATCAAGGGCTGGATTCAATCCGTCTTTCTTACCTCCGTCAAATACGGAGTGCTATCCTGCCAAGTACTCTGCTGCCAAAGTCTCAGGAGGCCGTGACAGAGAAGCCTCCAGACAGTCTACTCGTTCATCATAACAAACACTCAAATCAGCCCAGACTCTAAACACAGAGCACAAACAGCTTAGAAGTCCCTGGGAAAGAAATACATGTTTTTCTCCCACTATGCAGAGTTTATTTGAGTTCATCCTTCACTGCAGGTGTACCTGGCTTCTCGCACTGGCCAAGATCAACACTTAGATATCCAGAAGCTTATCTGGGCTCAAACAGGCACACTACAGCCAAGGATTGTGGCTCGGTTATGGGGAGGCTAAATGAGAACGGTGCCCTGGCATATACAGCAGAGCAGCAGCTGGGGTTGGGTTTAGCCCAACAGAGGTAATGGTGTCTGTGTACTCTGGGGAGCTCCATTAAAACGTCAGAGGGATTAGGAGGAGTGGATGAACGTGCTGGACCAAGGTAACTAAAGAAAGCGTAGCTTGTTGCTTCCTGAACAAAGTTGTGGTCAGTCACTTTTCATTAAGGTACCATGTAGTTTCATGGAATTTTGATGCCGTTGAGTAATTGCACAGTGTTAAAAGTGTGAAGTATGAAAGAGTACTTGGCCCGTGTCCTTGCATCATATCAACAGATTTCTATAAATCTTTTATGCAAAAGAATACCGAAAAACACATCCACCCACCACTAATATCATCTGCCCCTGGTGAGCAGCAACATGTTCTGCCTATTTTCATCTCATCATTCACTTTTCTTCTCCAACAGTTAAAAATAGGATGGGGCGAGAGAGACCCATATGGTAATTAGACTCAACCAAAGCGAATGTCTTTCTCTCGAAAGCCCTGTCGAGCAAAGGCCCTCCCATGTGGTTCTCATATAGACGCATAAGTAGGTCACAGAGTTGCAGAAAGAGTGATGTTCCCAGAGGATTCCTCGCCTCTAATGGGAACCAAATGCATGGTAAGCCTCAGATTTCAGCACCGGTTTGAGATCCCGTGCTCCGAGCGATTATGATGGCACTGCCTGCCAACTAACTTTCGAGTAGCAATTAAGGGTTAAAACGTAGGGGATCTGCTAAGCAAGTTATGATTTTTGTTGTTGTCAAAACAGTGTTGGATGTGTGCGGTACCTACCAACTCCTGTAAACAGCTATGAGACGGAAAATGATTGGCTTGGATATGCCCCAGATACCATTTGACAACAAATAAGTCAATATACTGTACAATATGTCTTCTGCTTGTCACTAAGTCATAGAGTACAAATGACCTCTATTAGAAACCAAGCTATCACAAAATCAAAGACATGAAGCCATTTTATGACAATGATTCAGGGGCAAGAACAGAGAAAGGAATATTCAGGGACTGAATATGTCAGTAGGTACAGGGACTCCAGCACTGGCATCACAGGCCGATGCATTGGCATTCACGCACTGCGAGACAAGGGATGTTGACATTGCCTTTGTTGCAGCACCCACGGTCCCTTGATAGTCTTCCTTAAAGGTCACATGCAGCTGACAGAAATGAGAAACCCTGTTACCTTAGAGTGTGGTAGTGATGGGTTAGGAGTGTGGCGCACACGCACATACCGACTTGTGTTTTGAATTTACCTGAGACACTCTACAGAATAATAAACCATGCATATTCCTTCAATTCCATTCAGCGACCAAATGTCTTGGCCATTAGCCAAGTTTGATAGATACACAGTCCTAAGTAACCTGCACTGTATTTAGTCTTTCATCACCTTCCATAACGGTTATGTCAAGCACAGACTGGTTAATATTTCAACCAATCAAAATGGACTGTTTGATATTTCACTGCAGTGTTACTTCTGTTGGCAGGACAGCAATGCTACTGTGTGTAAAGACAGAGATAATGACATGTTTATGAAGCATTAATCTTGGTGGCATTTTGATACGATATGGCACAAAGTGTAAGCATTATGGCTAGTGCTAATAAAGGGTGTGATCGTGCCACTGTATTTGGCTTGAATGAACAGGACATATGCATATCTGCAGGGAGTGTGAGGTATCCAGATTTCTCTGCTTAGTGCCAATGGAGGCTAGACCAGGCCTCCGGACATGGCAGGATGTGCCTTTTGAAGGATTATGGAACTGCCAGTGAGTAAAACATGCATCAGAATGTCTACCCTGCCTTGATGTGTTATTGTGAACAAACACCCTCTGGCAGATACAGGTAACTGCCAAAATAATGGAAACACAGGTAAATGAGGGATACAAAGTATATTGAAAGCAGGCGCTTCTACACAGGTGTGGTTCCTGAGTTAATTAAGCAATTAACATCCCATCATGCTTAGGGTCATGTATGAAAATGTTGGGCAGGCCATTATTTTGGCTTCCATGGCTATGCCCCCATAGGATGACAATGCCTCCATCCACAGGGCACGAGTGGTCACTGAATGGTTTGATGAACATGAAAACAATGTAAACCATATGCCATGGCTGTCTCAGTCACCAGATCTCAACCCAATTGAACACTTATGGGAGATTCTGGAGCAGCGCCTGAGACAGCGTTTTCCACCACCATCAACAAAACACCAAATGATGGAATTTGTCGTGGAATAATGACACTTGTAGAATCTATGCCAAGGTGCATTGAAGCTGTTCTGGCTCGTGGTGGCCCAACATCCTATTAAGACACTTTGTTGCTGTTTCCTTTATTTTGGCAGTTACCTGTATATACACATTGTTGTAGCCTACAGTGAGAGAAAAAAGTATTTGATTCCCTGCTGATTTTGTACGTTTGCCCACTGACAAAGACATGATCAGTCTATAATTTTAATGGTAGGTTTATTTGAATAGTGAGAGACAGAATAACAACAAATAAATCCAGAAAAAAACATGTTTTAAATTGATTTGCATTTTAATGAGGGAAATAAGTATTTGACCCCCTCTCAATCAGAAAGATTTCTGGCTCCCAGGTGTCTTTTATACAGGTAACGAGCTGAGATTAGGAGCACACTCTGAAAGGGAGTGCTCCTAATCTCAGCTTGTTACCTCTATAAAAGACACCTGTCCACAGAAGCAATCAATCAACCAGATTCCAAACAGGTAGGTTTATTTGAACAGTGAGATAACAACAACAAAATAATTTAACAGTAGCACAAATAGAGATAATTCAGGCAGATTAATACACTGCTCAAAAAACACTAAAATAACACATTCTAGATCTGAATGAATGAAATAATCTTATTAAATACTTTTTTCTTTACATAGTTGAATGTGCTGACAACAAAATCACACAAAAATTATCAATGGAAATCAAATGTATCAACCCATGGAGGTCTGGATTTGGAGTCACCCTCAAAATTAAAGTGGAAAACCACACTACAGGCTGATCCAACTTTGATGTAATGTCCTTAAAACAAGTCAAAATGAGGCTCAGTAGTGTGTGTGGCCTCCACGTGCCTGTATGACCTCCCTACAACGCCTGGGCATGCTCCTGATGAGGTGGCGGATGGTCTCCTGAGGGATCTCCTCCCAGACCTGGACTAAAGCATCCGCCAACTCCTGGACAGTCTGTGGTGCAACGTGGCGTTGGTGGATGGAGCGAGACATGATGTCCCAGATATGCTAAATTGGATTCAGGTCTGGGGAACGGGCGGGCCAGTCCATAGCATCAATGCCTTCCTCTTGCAGGAACTGCTGACACACTCCAGCCACATGAGGTCTAGCATTGTCTTGCATTAGGAGGAACCCAGGGCCAACCGCACCAGCATATGGTCTCACAAGGGGTCTGAGGATCTCATCTCGGTACCTAATGGCAGTCAGGCTACCTCTGGCGAGCACATGGAGGGCTGTGCGGCCCCCCAAAGAAATGCCACCCCACACCATGACTGACCCACCGCCAAACCGGTCATGCTGGAGGATGTTGCAGGCAGCAGAACGTTCTCCACGGCGTCTCCAGACTCTGTCACGTCTGTCACATGTGCTCAGTGTGAACCTGCTTTCATCTGTGAAGAGCACAGGGCGCCAGTTGCGAATTTGCCAATCTTGGTGTTCTCTGGCAAATGCCAAACTTCCTGCACGGTGTTGGGCTGTAAGCACAACCCCCACCTGTGGACGTCGGGCCCTCATACCACCCTCATGGAGTCTGTTTCTGACCGTTTGAGGGTGTCTTGCTAATTGCCTATAATTTCCAACTGTTGTCTATTCCATTTGCACAACAGCATGTGACATTTATTGTCAATCAGTGTTGCTTCCTAAGTGGACAGTTTGATTTCACAGAAGTGTGATTGACTTGGAGTTACATTGTGTTGTTTAAGTGTTCCCTTTATTTTTTTGAGCAGTGTATAACATTTAGCACTCAATGGTGGAATTGGAGTGCCCAGTGAATGCTGAACTCCAGATAGTATTATTCAGAGTGTTATTAAAACTGTGTATATGCACGTTGCCTTAACACATTTAAGGCATTTTGGGATTAGTGGTTGAGGGGAAAGGCATTATCACTAGAGCCCGCCATGGAACATAATCGGAGCAGTCAAACAGTTAGCATAATATAATACATTTCCTAGTTATATAACTAGAAAATAGTGCATTTTCATGTATCCAATTCAATGGGGAGCATCTGGTATTTTCAGCAGGTCTTTAGGTTCAGCAGAGCTCAACTTCAGGTTGCCGGTAATGTATTTCTGCTTGGGTTTATAGTCACACATTTATCTTCTAAACTTGGTTTTATGAGTACCCTTGAGCCAGGACAATTGGAACATTAGGTTTAAGTAATACAGAAAAATGCTGTATGCTGGAGAAGCTTGTGATTTGTTCAAATAATCCAATTGGCTTCAAACTCTGTTTTTCAAGGACAATTTTAATAAGAATATTGGCGAAACTCTTAGTATATTTGGTAAAAATGGCTTCACTCAAATTCTGGTTGGTCACTGTAGTTAATACATCTTCTATGAACACTGGTCTGTAAAGCCTTTTACTGAGAATGCTGACACTAGACAATTCAGTACCTAAAGCTTTAGTGAAAGGTCCTTCATTGCCATTCTTGTTTTTTACAATATCTACAGTGCATTCGGAAAGTATTCAGACCCCTTGACTTTTTCCACGTTGTTACGTTACAGCCTTATTCTAAAATTGATTAAATTGTTTTTCCCCCCTCAACAATCTACACACAATACCCCATAATGAAATGTTTACAAATTTAATAAAAAGTTTTCAGACCCTTTACTCAGTACTTTGTTGAAGCACCTTTGGCAGCGATTACAGAGTCTTCTTGGGTATGACGCTACAAGCTTGGCACACCTGTATTTGGGGAGTTTCTCCCATTCTTCTCTGCAGATCCTCTCAAGCTCTGTTAGGTTGGATGGGGAGTGTCGCTGCACAGCTACTTTCAGGTCTCTCAAGAGATGTTCGATCGGTTTCAAGTCCGGGCGCTGGTTGTTCCACTCAAGGACATTCAGAGACTTGTCCCAAAGCCATTCCTGTGTTGTCTTGGCTGTGTGCTTAGGGTGGTTGTCCTGTTGGAAGGTGAACCTTCATCCCAGTCTGAGGTCCTGAGTGCTCTGGAGCAGGTTTTCATCAAGGATCTCTGTACTTTGCTCCGTTCATCTATCCCTTGATCCTGACTAGTCTCCCAGTCCCTGCCGCTAAAAAACATCCCCACAGCATGATGCTGCCACCACCATGCTTCACTGTAGGGATGGTGCCAGGTTTCCTCCAGACGTGACACTTGGTATTCAGGCCAAAAAGTTCAATCTTGGTTTCATCAGACTAGATAATCTTGTTTCTCAAGGTCAGAGTCCTTTAGGTGCCTTTTGGCAAACTCCAAGCGGGCTGTCATGTGCCTTTTACTGAGGAGTGGCTTCCGTCTGTCCACTCTACCATAAAGACCTGATTAGTGGAGTGCTACAGAGATGGTTGTCCTTCTGGAAGATTTTTCCATCTCCACTGAGGAAATCTGGTGCTCTCTGTCAGAGTGTCCATCGGGTTCTTGGTCACCTCCCTGACCAAGGCCCTTCTCCCACGATTGCTCAGTTTGGCCGGGCGGCCAGCTCTAGGAAGATTCTTGGTGGTTCCAAACTTCTTCCATTTAAGAAAGATGGAGGCCACTGTGTTCTTGGGGACCTTCAATGCTGCAGACATTTTTTGGTACCCTTCCCTAGATCTGTGCCTCGACACAATCCTGTCTCGGAGCTCTACGGACAATTCCTTCGACTTCATGGCTTGGTTGCTCTGACATGCACGGTCAACTGTGGGACCTTATATAGACAGGTGTGTGCCTTTCGAAATCATGTCCAATCAATTGAATTTACCACAGGTGGACTCCAATCAAGTTGTAGAAACATCAAGGATGATCAATGGAAACAGGATGCACCTGAGCTCAATTTCGAGTCTCAATTTCAGGTCTGAATACTTATGTAAATAAGGTATTTTTGTAATTATTATTTTATACATTTGCAAAAATTTATAAACCTGTTTTCAGGGGGGGGGGGGGGGGGGGGGGGGTATTGTCATTATGGGGTATTGTGTGTAGATTGATGAGGATTTGTTTTTATTTAATCCATTTTAGAATAAGGCTGTAACGTAACAAAATGTGGAAAACTTCAAGGGGTCTGAATACTTTCCGAATCCACTGTATATTCATGAAGTCGGGCAAATTTCCTTTTTCTCTAAAGCCCAGCCGAAAAAAATGAAAATATTTTCAGTTAAACTCTTCACCACCCCATCATTAAAGTGAATTCACCCCCAGTCCGGCGAATTTCCATTTGTGAGTTTCAAACTATCTCTGCTTCCGACCATGAAATGTACTGTACAAGTATGACACATTGCTGTTGGGTCTGTACAACCCCTCGCCTATCTCTAGGATAGATGCCACTGGAATCATTGGCTTTCCCATATGCACACTTCGCTCGACGGGCAGGAAATACATTATCTTGTTTTGCCCGTTTCATGCGGAGCACCCTCATCATGGCTGAAATGGTGGCTGCCAAGCCTAACATGACCGCGCTTCCCTTCAGGATTGATGTTACCTTCATGAATGTGCCTGGGAAATCCCTGCGTCAACAAGTAAAGCCACTAGGCGCCCCCAAGAGAAGCTATTCACCTGAGCATAATAAGCAGCTATAGTGACTCACTCACTCTAAGGGGGTTAATGGAGGTTTGTGTTGTTCTTAGTGGTGAGAGAAATTCTATTCAGCCTGGTCTCAAAACACCAATCTTCTCTTTTGCTGACTCAATCTGAATGTCAACACCAACCGACGATTCAATCATTTCTCAAGCCTTTTCATTTATTTACACATAGGTTTTTCAATACGGCATAACACCTATTACTGTGTTTCTCTTTATGCCATGGATTTCCACTAGGTGAAGACGTGTGTGTCGTGTGCATGTGTTATTGGTAGGGCCCCGGTCCCGCATGGTGTATACTGTTACAAGGTGATAATAAGCCATAGGAAATACACGTTAAGCTGTTGTAAAAGTAATTAGGAGGTCGGCACACCACGCGGACGTCCACATAATGCATGCAAATGAGACAATCTGATGTGATTTCTGCTACATCTCGGCCCCATAATTGCATACCACCACCCGAGCTGAAGATCCACCGCCAAGTTCCTAAAGTGTTTTTAACGAGTTGAAGCACTTACAAATGGAGTGTCTCTGTTATCTTCCATGCATTAAAAGGGAAGGTCTATGGTATCAGTTACTGCCAAATACTTCAAATTGCAGGTAATTATGTTCATTTGCACAGCGTTCGACTGCAAGACCTTTTCGAAGGCCTTATACGGGGCTCTTGTTCTTTTTAAAGACCTTGTAGAGCTTTCGGAACAAACCAAGGCCAATTTATGGACCGGACTGTTCGAGCCAGCTGGCAAAGCCAACAGAGGTTTGTCCAATGTTCTACAGCCGCAGGACTAATCTTTTAGAAAACTGCGGACCACTTTGTGGAGTAATCATAGATGGGCACAAGGCCACTGTTATTTACAATATGAGCTGCAGTTCGATAACCAACTCTGCATTTACTATGTCCTATTGATGTTCTGTATGTCTCTACATTATGTATAAAGTATCCACTTTAGAACTAAAGCTAATATGATACAAAAAGTCAAAGATTTGGGCAGGATTCATCCTCATAACTGGCTTATGGGTATATCAATAATTATTTTATGTAGGATAAATCTACGATGGAGATGACATACTCTACATCAACTATTCTAGAATCAAATTCATAATCTATTAAATACTAGTGTAATGGAAAGTTTTCATGTGACATTTCCATCCCCTGGCTTTAACCAGGATCAGTAAAGCATTGCCTTCATTAAATGGATTTGTTCCAATGTTTGTTTCAAAGGCATTCGGAAATGACAAACAGTCACTATGTCCATTACCTGGCTAAGTTTTGGCATGCTCCCTACGCCTAGTCAGTCACTGGAGTCCCGACGTTTCTGCGTATTCATCAAGACCGTTTCAAGGTCTTTGGCATTGCCAGTGTTTCTGGGGGGGGTTTCAGTGACCTGCGCTATGTTCCCTGTGCTCGTGGAAGTCCACCTTGAACCCTGTGTGCTGCTGCATGATGGGATTGATTGCTAATGAGGCTGCGGAGGCAATATTGCCATGATTTTCCACACAGATTGCACCTGGGGGCTAGTTGAAAAGTTCACTCACTGGAATATGTTGTGCCGTCAACATGCCATCTGTGTTGACTTGACTGTACATTTCATTGCAGCCACAAGGGATAGATCCAAGGGGAAAATGTGCCCTAATATAAATATGTTTTAAATGTTACTGTTTAACTAAGCCACTATTCCCAATTTGAAACTAAATTGGCATTACCAAAATGGCAGTCTCCAGTTAGAATTGGGCTCTTCCCCCAATTGAGAAATCACTCCTCTGACACAGACCTTCACACTTGGCTGGCCTACGTCAGGAGGTTAATGCTCAACGTGCCTGTTGGCAACCGAGGCTGGAGTCTCCATTAGCCTCTAATAGTGTCATTTACTCCATGGGTTCATTACAGTGAATGGCTAAGGCTGGGCTTATATTACATAATGAGGGTCTTCTCTGGTGTGAGGCTCACCCTGTGAATAACAATTACGACGCTCAAGTATTATTAGGCCTACATAAGGGGTTTATTGACTTGGGCATGCCCAGTCATGAATTGCAAGATTGAAAGTGCATCACCTATCGGTTAATCAAGGAGATCCATTTAATCTTGATCTCTTGGTTTAAAAAGCGTAACTGATCTTACTCATGAGCCTCCATTTCCACAAGCAGCAACATATCTTTAATCTTCTCTACAACATGTGGGACTAGAGGAATGTTTGTAAGTCTGTTAGGAAGCGAACTGAACCTGTTCAAATCAAACAATACTTTGAATTTCAAGTAACCCAAAACCTATAATGGTATGGTCTACAAGTCAAAAGGTTTACCAGACACCGAAAAGATTGGGGTATTCTTTCATTTTCAAGTTGTCTAGTGTGAAACCTTAAGTGAAACCACAAAATTGCCAATAGATAATGCAAAGTCATTGCATGTAACTTAATTCAAAGTGTTTATGCTCACAGTCATACTGCAATAAAACAAATTGGAACGCAACACAGGGAGAAAGGAGGGACAGAGACTGGGAGAGAAATGGAAACTGACCGTAGGCTAAGTCTGCCGCGGAGTTCTGGTTTCGCGTGGTCGCCAGTACATCTGCTGTTGGGAGCAAAACAAAGCATTACTACCGAAAACAAAAGACGGCGTGAATTACAATACTGCTCACAAAGACATAAGAAAACAAATGAGTTTTTGCGGCAGCGTGACATGAAATGCAAGTAGGTTGGGCTGCTCTAGATATTTCCAAACTGTGACCCAATTGTGGATTCAAGTGTCATAAAATATTTTTTAGATGTGCCGTTTTCTCCCCAAATATACTTTTCTCTTCATATTCTTGTACTGTAATCCACCTTATATAAATGTGCAGTGTAGCATATAAATGTGTATGCAGTATGTAACCTTGTTGATAGAACCTTCGTGTGTACCTTAAGAACATACCACTTAAATGTTAGCTGGCAGATTGACAGGTAGCAAATGAAACATTGCTACATCAATTAAATGCATAACAGATCAAACAAAAGGGGAGGAGGTATTTGTTATAACACCATGGTAGCCTGTGAAACCCATTCTTCCATGTACAGTGCATTCGGAATGTATTCAGACACCTTGACTTTTTCCACATTTTGTTACAGCCTTATTCTAAAATGGATTAAATTGTTTTTTTCCCCCCTCATCAATCCACACACAATACCCCATAACGACAAAGCAAAAACAGCTAATTTTTTTATGCAAATGTATCAGATAAAAAAAAAACTGAAATATCATTTACATTTACATTTTCGTCATTTAGCAGACGCTCTTATCCAGAGCGACTTACAAATTGGTACATTCACCTTATGATAGCCAGTGGGACAACCACTTTACAATATATACAGTGAGGGAAAAAAGTATTTGATCCCCTGCTGAGTTTGTACGTTTGCCCACTGACAAAGAAATGATCAGTCTATAATTTTAATGTTAGGTTTATTTGAACAGTGAGAGACAGAATAACAACAAAAAAATCCAGAAAAACACATGTCAAAAGTGTTATGAATTGATTTGCATTTTAATGAGGGAAATAAGTATTTGACCCCCTCTCAATCAGAAAGATTTCTGGCTCCCAGGTGTCTTTTATACAGGTAACGAGCTGAGGTTAGGAGCACACTCTTAAAGGGAGTGCTCCTAATCTCAGCTTGTTACCTGTATAAAAGACACCTGTCCACAGAAGCAATCAATCAATCAGATTCCAAACTCTCCACCATGGCCAAGACCAAAGAGCTCTCAAAGGATGTCAGGGACAAGATTGTAGACCTACACAAGGCTGGAATGGGCTACAAGACCATCGCCAAGCAGCTTGGTGAGAAGGTGACAACAGTTGGTGCGATTATTCGCAAATGGAAGAAACACAAAAGAACTGTCAATCTCCCTCGGCCTGGGGCTCCATGCAAGATCTCACCTCGTGGAGTTGCAATGATCATGAGAACGGTGAGGAATCAGCCCAGAACTACACGGGAGGATCTTGTCAATGATCTAAAGGCAGCTGGGACCATAGTCACCAAGAAAACAATTGGTAACACACTATGCCGTGAAGGACTGAAATCCTGCAGCGCCCGCAAGGTCCCCCTGCTCAAGAAAGCACATATACATGCCCGTCTGAAGTTTGCCAATGAACATCTGAATGATTCAGAGGAGAACTGGGTGAAAGTGTTGTGGTCAGATGAGACCAAAATCGAGCTCTTTGGCATCAACTCAACTCGCCGTGTTTGGAGGAGGAGGAATGCTGCCTATGACCCCAAGAACACCATCCCCACCGTCAAACATGGAGGTGTAAACATTATGCTTTGGGGGTATTTTTCTGCTAAGGGGACAGGACAACTTCACCACATTAAAGGGACGATGGACGGGGCCATGTACCGTAAAATCTTGGGTGAGAACCTCCTTCCCTCAGCCAGGGCATTGAAAATGGGTTGTGGATGGGTATTCCAGCATGACAATGACCCAAAACACACGGCCAAGGCTACAAAGGAGTGGCTCAAGAAGAAGCACATTAAGGTCCTGGAGTGGCCTAGCCAGTCTCCAGACCTTAATCCCATAGACAATCTGTGGAGGGAGCTGAAGGTTTGAGTTGCCAAACGTCAGGCTCGAAACCTTAATGACTTGGAGAAGATCTGCAAAGAGGAGTGGGACAAAATCCCTCCTGAGATGTGTGCAAACCTGGTGGCCAACTACAAGAAATGTCTGACCTCTGTGATTGCCAACAAGGGTTTTGCCACCAAGTATTAAGTCATGTTTTGCAGAGGGGTCAAATACGTATTTCCCTCATTAAAATGCAAATCAATTTATATTTTTTTTTACATGCGCTTTTCTGGATTATTTTGTTGTTATTCTATCTCTCACTGTTCAAATAAACCTACCATTAAAATTATAGACTGATCATTTCTTTGTCAGTGGGCAAACGTACAAAATCAGTAGGGGATCAAATACTTTTTTCCCCTCACTGTATATATATATATATATATATTATTTTTTTTTTTTTTGGGGGGGGGGGGGGGGGGGGGGGGGGGGGGTGGGGTTAAGGGGGAGTAGAATAATTACTTTATCCTATCCCAGGTATTCCTTAAAGAGGTGGGGTTTCAAGTGTCTCCGGAAGGTGGTGAGTGACTACGCTGTCCTGGCGTCGTGAGGGAGCTTGTTCCACCATTGGGGTGCCAGAGCAGCGAACAGTTTTGACTGGGCTGAGCGGGAACTGTGCTTCCGCAGAGGTAGGGGGGCCAGCAGGCCAGAGGTGGATGAACGCAATGCCCTCGTTTGGGTGTAGGGACTGATCCGAGCCTGAAGGTACGGGGGTGCCGTTCCCCTCACAGCTCTGTAGGCAAGTACCATGGTCTTGTAGCAGATGCGAGCTTCAACTGGAAGCCAGTGGAGTGTGCGGAGGAGCGGGGTGACGTGAGAAAACTTGGGAAGGTTGAACACCAGACGGACTGCGGCGTTCTGGATGAGTTGTAGGGGTTTAATGGCACAGGAAGGGAGCCCAGCCAACAGCGAGTTGCACTAATCCAGACGGGAGATGACAAGTGCCTGGATTAGGACCTGTGCCGCTTCCTGTGTAAGGCAGAGTCGTACTCTGCGAATGTTGTAGAGCATGAACCTACAGGATCGGGTCACCTTTACATAAACATAAATATTCAGACCCTTTACTCAGTACTTTGTTGAAGCACCTTTGGCAGCGATTACAGCCTTTAGTCTTCTTGGGTATGATGCTACAAGCTTGGCACACCTGTATTTGGGGAGTTTCTCCCATTCTTCTCTGCAGATCCTCTCCAGCTCTGTCAGGTTGGATGGGGAGCGTTGCTGCACAGCTACTTTCAGGTCTCTCAAGAGATGTTAGATCGGTTTCAAGTCCGGGCGCTGGTTGTTCCACTCAAGGACATTCAGAGACTTGTCCCGAAGCCACTCCTGCGTTGTCTTGGCTGTGTTTTCATCAAGGATCTCTCTGTACTTTGCTCCGTTCATCTTTCCCTCGATCCTGACTAATCTCCCAGTCCCTGCCGCTGAAAAACATCCCCATAGCATGATGCTGCCACCACCATGCTTCACTGTAGGGATGGTGCCAGGTTTCCTCGAGACGTGATGCTTGGCGTTCAGGCCAAAGAGTTCAATCTTGGTTTCATCAGACCAGAGAATCTTGTTTCTCATGGTCTGAGAGTCCTTTAGGTGCCTTTTGGCAAACTCCAAGCGGGCTGTCATGTGCCTTTTACTGAGGAGTGGCTTCCTTCTGGCAACTCTACCATAAAGGCCTGATTGGTGGAGTACTGCAGAGATGGTTGACCTTCTGAAAGGTTCTCCCATCTCCACAGAGGAACTCTGGAGCTCTGTCAGAGTGACCATCGGGTTCTTGGTCACCTCCCTGACCAACGCCCTTCTCCCCCCATTGCTGAGTTTGGCTGGGTGGCCAGCTCTAGGAAGAGTCTTGGTGGTTCCAAATTTCTTCCATTTAAGAATGATGGAGGCCACCGTGTTCTTGGGGACCTTCAATGCTGCATAAATGTTTTGGTACCCTTCCCCAGATCTGTGCCGACACAATCCTGTCTCGGAGCTCTACGGACAATTTCTTCGACCTAATGGCTTGGGTTTTGCTCTGACATGCACTGTCAACTGTGGAACCTTATATAGACAGGTGTGTGCCTTTCCAAATCATGTCCAATTAATTGAATTTACCACAGGTGGACTCCAATCAAGTTGTAGAAACATCTCAATGATGATCAATGGAAACAGGATCCACATGAACTCAATTTCGAGTCTCATATCAAAGGGACTAAATAAGTTTATATTTTTATTATTTTTAATACATTTGCAAACATTTCTAAAAACCTGTTTTTGCTTTTTCATTATGGGGTATTGTGTGTAGATTGATGAAGATTATTATTTTTTGAATCCATTTTAGAATAAAGCTGTAACGTAACAAAATGTGGAAAAGGGGAAGGGTCTGAATTTTTTCCGAATGCACTGTACTTCCATGAAGGAATATACCCTCTTTTTACAGGGCTTATATTTAGATGATTGGCCTGCTATCAGCCTGTTGCTGATGATAGCTCACCATGGCAGTTCTCAGGGTGCAGTGAGTGGTCTCCCTCGATGTCCTGCTCAAAGCCAGCCCTGGAGAGAGAACGAGAGAACGAGAGTAAAAAAGGAGGTTCATCACAATTTCCTCTTTGCTGCCACAAGCTACCACCTACCCAACAGTAATTGGGACCTGGTCATTCACCCACAGATCGAAGCCCATTTAGAGCCATACAGAACTTGCCCAACCTGCCAGTCGTCGATGAGAGAATATTTTTCTTAGCCAGTACATTCACAACCTGAGAGACATCCTGCAAATGCCTATGACATCACCATCCACAGACAAGGTGGGTGAATCAGGAAAATGCCACGAATGGAGAGAACATCCAGTTTGCTGGCACCCTAACAAAGTTGGTCTGTTCTCCCCTTGTACGCTGTCCAAATTAGAAACCAGCGTCACGGCTGATAAAGGTCAGATGATAACCTTCCTATCAGGTGACAGGGGGAGCAGAAGTGGCCAGGACAGCCTGCATCAGTTAGGAGAAAAAGACAACAATGACTAAAGCCAAGGTCATAATCCAGACCCTATTCAAACAAAATATGTAGCCAGACCCAGTGTTTTGCCTGTGCATTTTCATTTTACATTTACGTCATTTAGCTGACGCTGTTATCCAGAGCGACTTACAATAGTGAGTGCAGACATTACTTTTTTTCGTACTAGTCCCCCGTGGGAATCAAACCCACAACCCTGGTGTTGCAAGCACCATGCTGTACCAACTGAGCTACATAGGACTACTATATTCCAGAACACTTTTGAGGGATGTGAAACACACAAGTGCAGGTCTATCTATTGGGGGCTGTATTTAGGGCCCTTCTCCCCTCCTACCCACGGAGGAGAAGAGGGGGTTTCAGTGTTCATTTTCATTAGGACTTTTCAATCAGTGCATGCCATTTGCACAGACATCCATCGATAGATTTAGATGCAGCGTGCCTATGAATGAGAGAAAGGTCCATACACAACCAGATACATTTAGAGAGTGGCTGGAAGCTAATGGAAAGTGGGGTTTGAATGCGGCACACAAGTGTCTATTATGAATATGAATAAATTGGATCCTACTTCTGACACCAACGGGCGCTCATTCACCCTCCAGCCCTTTCCGTCTCTGAGCTGCGGAGTGTTCATTTGTTTATTTTCGCTTTTTCGCTCCGCTCCACCTTTCTCGTTCACTCGCTCTCCATGTATCAATTTTCAGAAGTGTGGGATGCGTGAGCGAGAGAGTGCTATTCATTTCCCTCACTCAGACACTTTAAAGCTCTTCTATTTACTAGCAATGAATGAGGGGAAAGGAGACATAGATATGAAAAGACAAATTCTCAGAAATAGTCTCACTGATGTTGCATACTCGCAAACAATGAGCTACCAGAGATGCATACAGACATAGTGAGACTGATTTAAGTAGATATTTATTTATACAAATGCTTGCTAATTAAAAATCATAATATGCCATTTAGCAGACGCTTTTATCCAAAGCGACTTACAGTCATGCGTGCATACATTTTTTTGTGTATGGGTGGTCCCGGGGTTCGAACCCACTACCTTGGCGTTACAAGCGCTGTGCTCTACCAGCTGAGCTACATATAAGTAAACAGTCACAGGTAGGTACACCCACTCACATCCACATACAGAGGATTCAGTTTAGGAGTAGGCCTAAATAGAGGTTTGAGTTTAGGAATACAAACAACATATTTTATACAGTGGCGGGCCAGGCTGCAGAGTTGTTTCGGGACTGGCAAAGCACTTCAGCTCCATTTAGTTTTTCGGCGGTTGCCTCACTTGGGAGCTCTTTGGAGCATTTTGCAAGATGGCCCGGTCTGCCAAAACGTCTGTCGCATTCACCTCTGGATCCACCCATTCGTCTCCAGGGAAACCACTGACTCGCTGCCACAACAACAAGGCCCATCTGCTGCTCATCTTAGGGAAGTGGCTGAACCACAGTGTCCTGGATAAGGTGTTTCTAGAACATTTTCTGAGCCCTAAAAACTTTCCTTGTCCACTGAACTCTAAATCTCTAACCAAAACAGAGATATTTCACTGAGATTTATACTTTTGGAGGTGGAACTTCATGGAACTTGCAATAGTCTCTCAAAGTTCATGAATCCCCATCTTAAACCACCAATTCCTGTGCTCCTGGGATGAGGAATGTCATGAAACGTTTCCCTCCAAATTCCATAACTATATAGATTACAGTGTGTGCTATTGAATCCATGTCGATTACATTTAAAAGAGCAAAATTACTTTTTTCAGCATCTAAAAGATTCAATCAAGGCCTTCTACTGCGGACACAGCATGACAAATCGCGCTAAACCGCCAATCCTGGAAGCGCCACGTCGAAAGTCACAGGATGGAAACTCAATTCTGAAGCAGTTCAAACAGACCGACTGCTTTCCGCTATTCTCCTTGGTTCCACAATACTAAGACCTTTGCTTTTTTTCCCCTCGACACTCTGGGAGATTTAGGGGGATGTCACATATCAGCGAAAGAACGGCAGGCAAAAGAGTGGGAGAGGAGACAGGAGAGGGAGGAGAGTGATGGGGACCCACTTTGGCAGCTCGCCAACAGAGAGGTGTGAGAGTAGGTGTGAGCCACAACCTTGTTCTTTAGCACCACTTCACCAAAGGGGGAGAACTGCTAGGCCTCAGTGATCCTCAAACCTACTCATGCAGAGCCGCAGTACTGCTGGTTTTTGTCCCCGACTCTGCAGTGAAACACCGGATACAGCTAATCAAAGCGTTGACAATTTGTTTGATTTGTTGAATCGGGTGTGATGGCACTAGGCCGGGACAGAAACCACAAGCAGGATGGGGAATCACTGCTAGGGAATGGGTGGGGTTGTGGAACAAAGTTAACTGGTGGCATGGCCAAGTGAATCACAGTAAGCCCTTACACAGCAGCCTTTTCCATAGCACTGGAGAGCAATGATCATGAGTCACAGTGTCAAATGACCCCTCTTCAGTTCATGAGAACTGATCGATGGCAACCCATCAGTTGTTCAGTCATTTCCTATGTTCCAGAGAATTGAAGAGACTCTTTTCATTTTCAGGAGGTCTGGGGGTGACTAATTTGTTTTATTCCTGAGAGATTGCAGAATCTGTCGGCTCATAAATAAATAAATGGACTCAAGCCATTGTGGGTCAAGTGGTTGATTGTTCCTTTCACTTAAAGTGCATTGCAAAAGTGGAAACTGGCCCAAAGCCAGCAGATATAAAGAAACAAATGGATGCATATTAGCATACACTGTACAGAGTCCCAGAGTGTATAATTTGCTGGTATAAAGAAACGGACTAGCGGGAAAACTCATCTTTGAAGAGCGGTCCTCATCTGCAGTACAATGATGTCACTCACTCAATACATTCTTCCTTAATATGACTTCCAAAGAGTTTGAGATTTTATGGGGGCCAATACTGATGGCAGATATACGATCACGCTCTCAAACCTTTATTACCTTTCAGATTGATGCCTTTCAGCGCGACAGGAAGGAAAGTGACACTTACTTGAACCCTGGCGCCATGTTGGCACAGCTCCCAGTCCGGAGCCAGATGCAGTATGGGTCGCGAGAGGACAGACAACTCCTAGAAAATGACAAGGCAAGAGGTGGTTAAATCCCTCCTTGGTGTGCGGGCAATGGGCGCCCGACTGTGTCTACTTTGACACAGTGACAAGCCACACACACACACACACACACACACACACACACACACACTTGAGGCAAGGACACTGCTGCGGTCTAGTTGAGCGTGTTCTGTTGGGGCTATTCCCCATCTGGTGTCTGCAGAGCGAGACTGGCTGGCCTGTGTGTGAACACAGATAGGTGAATGTGTCTGACAGTGTCTGAGTGTGTGTTTTAGCTCATTCTCCAAGATGACAAGTATGCCTGTGAAAGACCTCAGAGGACAGGTGTGTGCATCTGTTTCGAAATATTTATACGTGTGTGTGCCATGACTGCCAGCCTGGAGGAGTGAAGCCTGTTATCTTAGTGACAGGTGCCCCTCAGTCTCTCTCCCCCAGCCGGGGTGACACACTGACAGCCAGGACAACGGGGACTGAGTTGGAGCTCCGAGGGGGGAAGAAGGGAGAGGGGAGGGGGGGACTGTCATACACTCGCCTAGGGAAGGAGGAAGAGAGGGGGTTGTCTCCTTTGGATCTCTCACTTGTCAATCAGTGCTCTATGTTTACATGAACCCCTGCCTCCCTCACGTCCCACCAGTAGGAGATTTTGCACATGGCCTCTCAAAAGGTATTGTAGGCTGACCCAGACTGTGTTCGTGTGCATGCGAGTGTGTGTCAGACTATGAAGGAGGCAGTGAGTTTTTTTGTTGGTGTTTGAATGTTGATAAATTCCAATGGCAGGATCAGTCAACTCTAATGATATTCTTGATGTGGTATTCTGTGCTGATGATATCCTGAAAAATTTCCCAAACATTTACAGGCTGTTAAAATATTGATTATACGGGCAATTAAGCGCCCATTTTTTATGTCTTGGTTGTTTGCCAAAATATGCAAACAGGCTCTTTTAGAAGCTGTGCCAAATACATTTGGACAATTTGGTAATTTCCTCATGGCTTCCCTGTTCTCTCTTGCTCAATTTTCTGACAAATGACTAGAACAAATATAAATATTTGTTGATACTGAAATCAATTGACCACAAATTGACATTTAAAGAGCTTGGTATACAGAGACTAAGTATTTGTTATAACACAACTGAGCAAACGATTTTGAACAGTGCAAAAGCACAAAAAAATGTCGGCCCCATTTTTTCCAGGTCAGGTGACGTAGTCAGGGAAAGCTCAGCCCTAACAATATTGTACAGTCGTGGTCAAAAGTTTTGAGAATGACACAAGTATTGGTCTTCACAAAGTTTGCTGCTTCAGTGTTTTTAGATATTTTTGTCAGATGTTACTATGGTATACTGAAGTATAATTACAAGCATTACATACGTGTCAAAGGCTTTTATTGACAATTACATTAAGTTTATGCAAAGAGTCAATATTTGCAGTGTTGACCCTTCTTTTTCTAGACCTCTGCAATCCGCCCTGGCATGCTGTCAATTAACTTCTGGGCCACATCCTGAATGATGGCAGCCCATTCTTGCATAATCAATGCTTGGAGTTTGTCAGAATCTGTGGGTTTTTGTTTGTCCACCTGCCTCTTGAGGATTGACCACAAGTTCTCAATGGGATTAAGGTCTGAGGAGTTTCCTGGCCATGGACCCAAAATGTCGATGTTTTGTTCCCCGAGCCACTTAGTTATCACTTTTGCCTTATGGCAAGGTGCTCCATCATGCTGGAAAAGGCATTGTTTGTCACCAAACTGTTCTTGGATGGTTGGGAGAAGTTGCTCTCGGATGATGTGTTGGTACCATTCTTTATTCATGGCTGTGTTCTTAGGCAAAATTGTGAGTGAGCCCACTCCCTTGGCTGAGAAGCAACCCCACACATGGTCTCAGGATGCTTTACTGTTGGCATGACACAGGACTGATGGTAGCGCTCGCCTTGTCTTCTCCGGACAAGGTTTTTTTCCCGGATGCCCCAAACAATCGGAAAGGGGATTCATCAGAGAAAATGACTTTACCCTAGTCCTCAGCAGTCCAATCCCTGTACCTTTTGTAGAATATCAGTCTGTCCCTGTTTTTCCTGAAGAGAAGTGGCTTCCTCGCTGCCCTTCTTGACACCAGGCCATCCTCCAAAAGTATTCACCTCACTGTGCGTGCAGATGCACTCACACCTGCCTGCTGCCATTCCTGATCAAGCTCTGCACTGGTGGTGCCCCGATCCCGCAGCTGAATCAACTTTAGGAGATGGTCCTGGCGCTTGCTGGACTTTCTTGGGCGCCCTGAAGCCTTCTTCACAACAATTGAACCTCTCTCCTTGAAGTTCTTGATGATCCGATAAATGGTTGATTTAGGTGCAATCTTACTAGCAGCAATATCCTTGCCTGTGAAGCCCTTTTGTGTAAAGAAATGATAACGGCACGTGTTTCCTTGCAGATAACCATGGTTAACAGAGGAGGAACAATGATTTCAAGCACCACCCTCCTTTTAAAGCTTCCAGTCTGTTATTCTAACTCAATCAGCACGACAGAGTGATCTCCAGCCTTGTCCTCGTCAACACTCTCACCTGTGTTAATGAGAGAATCACTGACATGATGTCAGCTGGTCCTTTTGTGGCAGGGCTGAAATGCAGTGGAAATGTTTTTTGGGGATTAAGTTCATTTTCATGGCAAAGAGGGACTTTGCAATTAATTGCAATTCATCTGATCACTCTTCATAACATTCTGGAGAATATGCAAATTGCCATCATAAAAACTGAGGCAGCAGACTTTGTGAAAATTAATATTTGTGTCATTCTCAAAACTTTTGACCACGACTGTATATCCTCCTATGTGTATTTTCACACAATTGTTTCCGCCTTGTTGTAACTCACTTTTTACAGGCGCCGTGCTCAGTGCAGCGGCTGAGTGGTACTCTGATGACACAGCTGGTGAAGGCCACGAACAAGGCATGATGGTCCTTATCCAGCTCCATTCCCAGAATCCTCCGGTCCTGCTGCCCCTGAATGTTACACCTGTGGGAAAACATGGTCGCATGACACGTGAGAACACTTACAGCACAACCATACTAAAGGATCAGAGTTAGACTATAGACACGTGAAACACAGTACAACGAATCAGTCACAGATAGAAATGGGAGCCCCATTTAAAGGCTCTCTCTGTAAGAAATGTTCATTTAGGAAGTTGATATACCATTTGAACCCCTAATATAGTGTGTAAAATACAATTACTCTGCCTGTGAACTACCTTAGTAAAGATTTTGACCATTTGGTGGGAGTAACAACATTATAATGTAGGTTACAGCTTTGAAGCAGGTACAGACATTCATTTGGAGATATTCCAGGCTGATATTACAGTACTGTCACAATGGGACGCTTATACAACAGTCAGGTTTTCATGCCATTACCAACTTTTGCTTTTACTACGCCTGTGTAAATACGACCTATTCAAACGTGGTTACACACTCGCTTAAGAGGGGTTATAGACTGACTTAGAGGGTCTGTGCTCACATTGAGGGGTTATAGACATCTATGTCCTCCAGGAGCTGGGAGCCAAAGGAGGCATTAGGATGAGTGCTGGACAACACCTTCAGGACCCTGCCATCCTCCGAGCCCAGGAAGACCACAGTGCGGTCCTTAGACGGCCCGGCAGAGGTGTCCACCGCAATCTGAGTCAGCTTGTACCTGGAGAAGGGAAAAACACAGTTAGCGCGGATTGTACATCCGGAACTGGTAACCCATCAGCCATAATGGGTCAGTCATCCAGAACAAGTGAACCGCTATGACTGGCATTGAGACACAGGTCAACATAGGGTTAAAAATGAACAATTTTTCATCCCTTAAAAAAGCTATTATTGTTCAGCCTTTTTTGTGCTTTTCCTGATTTTAACCCACATGATTTTGTAATTTTCTGTGCACCAAAAAATGGAGTGGCGAGTACACTGAAATGGGGACGACAGAAGCACCGCTGGGCTGAAAATTCACTTCTGCTTTAGGCTACTTTCTGGGCGAGATTTAGCACTTTCCCGAATGGCTTGTGTTGGTTGCCTAGCAGCATAACAGCTGTCAAGGAAGGTTTTGTAAATGAACCATGATTGTCTCCAGAATGTTCTTATCTTCGTGTGTTTACATGTGCATATCTAACGCCAGTCATCTCAACTGGCTGCTAAAGACTGAAGCATAACCACTGTCATTTTCAGTTTAATAATAATTATGCTATAAAACATTATTTCCTCAGGTTCATGAATGCAACACACTTGATGAGAACATCCTATGATTTAAACCCCATTTTATCTCCAATATTTCCATGACTTCACTAGGACTTCAGTCTCAGGATGTTTAGAGCAGTGTGAAATAACACGTTCCCCGTGCCCCCCTGGCTTCTGTTGTCATTTACCAGAGTATCACATCAGCTTTCTGTGGTGAGAAGCAGCAGGCAGTGCACCCAGGGGGTACGGCAGGCAGACTCAAACACCTCTGCACCGCCAGTAAATGTCAAGCTTTGTGGATGAAGCCACAGTCTCCGGTCAAATAGAGTAGCTAGGCTGAGGCAATTTCTGGGTTTAGTTTCTGAGCGAGAACTCCAGTTGCCTGGTTTGAGTAAAGTGTCTTTCATTGACTAATTTGATTTACTGTACATTGCACTAAACTATTGCTGCCATTTTCTATACTGCTGATAATGTATATTTGTCTATGTTGCCGTTTGTCCACACAAAGATAAATACAATGAGGGAAAAAGGTATTTGATCCCCTGCTGATTTTGTACATTTGCCCACTGACAAAGACATGATCAGTCTATAATTTTAATGGTAGGTTTATTTGAACAGTGAGAGACAGAATAACAACAAAAAATCTAGAAAAACGCATGTCAAAAATGTTATAAATTGATTTGCATTTTAATGAGGGAAATAAGTATTTGACCCATCTGCAAAACATGACTTGGTGGCAAAACCCTTGTTGGCAATCAGAGGTCAGACGTTTCTTGTAGTTGGCCACCAGGTTTGCACACATTACAGGAGGGATTTTGTCCCACTCCTCTTTGCAGATCTTCTCCAAGTCATTAAGGTGGATCAAATACTTTTTTCCCTCACTGTAGTTATATTGTATGGTATGGTACTGCCCTACAGCACCTGCTTGTGGTGCGGGTGAAGCAGGGCCGGTCGTTGACGGAGGGCACCGCCTCGTCCATCAGAGGGTAAGACTTGATGAAGGTCAGCGTGTCGTCGGGGAAGGTGGTGGACGACTTGTAGGCCGAGGCCGGGCCGTCACCGGCACAGGAACCAGGCCTGAAGTAGAAAGAAGAAAGAGATTCGAGAAATTAAATTTGGCAACTCTTATTCAAACAAAACATGGGTGTGCACTGTGTTAGCCTAGCTGGTCCCAGATCTGTTGGTGCTGTATGGTCAACTCATAAGGTCGTTGTCATGCCTGGTCATATGTAGGCTAGTGTTTCCCCCCTTCAGAGGGCAGTCTCATACCTGGGCTTGGGCACCTGTTCTTCTGGTACCGGGGTCCAGGCTGAGTCACTGGTCTTCTGCTCCTTAAACTTCCCATTGAAGGCCTTCTCGATGTCGTCCATGTAGAAGGCACACACGGCTGAGCCAGGGATACTGACGAGGGAGACAGACACAAAGAGCGTGTTAAAAAAAGAGCCTCATGAGATTGAGTTATTGAAAAGGTTGGTTGAAACATGGTTGGCTGGTCAAACAAGGTGAAACAAATGTTTTCCGATTTCTATCTGGTGAGTGTAGAGCTCTGTATTATTTCAAATCAATATCAAGACGTTTGAGGTAAAACTAAAATGTTCCTGTGCCGCAAGTAAGGCGGTCCAGTGTGTGAGTGAATATCCTGTTTTTCCAGTTTAAGTGATGTTGCATATTCTTGCAGTGTAATACCCATTTCAGACAGAAGATGTGGTGTATTACCTGTAAATCTGTATAAGGCAATGTTTCTATGACCCCCTTCTATGACCCCCCAGTGGGTAACTGGCAAATTAGGAGGGGTGGGGGATGTACTTAAACCATGGGGGTAGGGCTGGGCTATACTGTATATCAAATTAATTTGAATGTACAGTACCAGTCAAAGGTTTGGTCACACCTACTCATTCCACGGTTTTTCTTTATTTGTACTATTTTCTACATTGTAGAATAATAGTGAAGACATCAAAACTATGAAATAACACATATGGAATCATGTAGTAACCAAAAAAGTGTTAAACAAATCTAAATAGATTTTAGATTCTTCAAAGTAGCCACCCTTTGCCTTGATGATAGCTTTGCACACGGTTGGCATTCTCTCAACCAGCTTCACGAGGTAGTCAGCTGGAATGCAGGTGAAGTGCCTTCTTAAAAGTTAATTTGTGGAATTTCTTTCCTTCTTAATGCGTTTGAGCCAATCTGTTGTGTTGGTAGGGGTGGTATACAGAAGACAGCCCTATTTGGTAAAAGACCAAGTCCATATTATGGCAAGAACAGCTCAAATAAGCAAAGAGAAACGGCAGCCCATTACTTTATGACATGAAGGTCAGTCAATACGGAAAATGTCAAGAACTTTGAAAGTTTCTTCAAGTGCAGTCACAAAAACCATCAAGCGCTATGATGATTTAGAAAAATAGTTAAAATAAAGAAAAACCCTTGAATGTGTAGGTGTGTCCAAACTTTTGACCGGTACTGTATGTTTTAGTGCGATGTTCCAAATGCCTCTAGGTTTTTAGTTTCGTTTTTATTAGCGTTCTGTCTTTTTGGTCTCGCCTCCTTCGCTCATTCTGTGCTGTGTGCACAGTGCACCTTCCCACTCGTACGCAGACACCAAACCCCTCCCCCTGCCACTCACTACAACAAAATACAAAATATTACTTCTTCCTCTCTCTCAACAATCAGTTTAAACTTGCTATTTGCATTTTAGGTTTGGTCCAACAGAATAGGTCACATGGACACCGATTACAGACATTATTTTATTGTAATAGACGAGAACTTAACCATTCTAACGAACACCTTTTTATGTCTCAACTCCCAAAATGTAAAACAGATAAGACCCTACTAAAACGAGAGTATCAATGAACTTGATTGTGGAAAATGTATGCTCAGTTTCTGTTGTGCGCGGCATTGCGGTACCATGTACCGCTAGTAACATTTTAGCAACAGACTTATGTGCTAGCTTTCTAGTCTGTGTTCTATAAATGTGCAATGAGCATAGAAATACACATTTATATAAGGAATTGGCTACTCTCATTCTGAGAAATAAGCATCTTATCCAGGTAGGCCACTTGATTTCAATATCTAAACAAAGTGAACAGTTCAAACAGTTGGAGATGGACAGGAGGGTGTATTCATAACAGTTCAACTGTTCTACCTTGTTAGCAAGCAAATAGATACAAGTTGGCTAGACTTCAAATATAAAGATTAACTGGCTACTCACTAGCTCTTGGGCTTGTGCTTGAGAGATTGCTTATGAGACCTGTGTTCATTTTCTATAATGCCTGCTACAAGAAGTTTGCCATTATTAGTGGATGTGAATTGTGTATGGTTCTGGTAAAATTTGTAACAAAAAGGGCATTTTCGTAGACAGACTTGAAAGCCAGATCAGTGATTATTGCAAACAAAAGCAGGTTAAACTATTTTGATAAAATAATGGGTCTTATGGTTGTGGAAGGCTTATATTTAGCCTAGGTATAATTTTACAAGCCCTGAATCATTAGATTATTCCTGACTGTTTGAAATGCAGTGTATTGACCTTTTTTTGTGCAACAAAGCTTATTTAGAGAAAATCTAATGTATATATGATTTTTAGGCCATATCGCCCAGACCTATATGGGGGCTGTTTGCATTTCAAATTAGGGAGGTGTTGAACAATGGAATTGTTAATGAATTTACCTGCAAAAAAGAGAACTATTCACACATAGTTGGAAATGCAGGAATCATGACAAGGTCTTCAGGTGGATTTTAATTTTCCATGTTTTTTACCCCCTACCTCTTTCAGATATACAAAGAAGCAGATAAAACGAAGCAGGCATGGTAAAATCATAGGAACTTTGTCTGTGTATGAAAGGGGTATAAGAAATGTATGGATATTGGCTTTGATGGAATAGTGCCTAGTCATTTGCCACTACTTTCTTGACCGCTAGGCTAACCTGTTAGCTTGCGTAGTGAACACTCCCACCACCGCGGGGCGCTGGTTGATTTGTAGCACGTTGGTAAGCGACTGCAGCACATCGAAGTAGAAGAAGGAGTCACCGGGCACCGAGCAGTTGAGCCGCGCCTTCAGGAAGGAAGTCCAGTAGCGCTCCAGCACCCGAGGAGAGCCGCCGTTGTCGTTCTTACACACCCGCGCCACGCGAGAGAACACCACCTTGGAGCCAAACCAGAAAATAATAGAATAGAATAGAATAGTGCTTTATTATCCTTGCCGCTCTTCTCCTGACCCCCTGAGACAACAAACACAACTTAATAGGCTTGAAGCAGCACAGGGTCAGCCACAGTGCTGGCTGTCTGGGGTTAATAAGAGCCTTGCTTTTCAACTTCTCGATACTTGCTTCACCTGGGACTTCAAATCAGCAACCCTCTGGTTGCAGTTCCACCTATCTAACCTCCAAACCAACCCCCACAAATGGATGTTATTTCCCATTCATAATAGCTCAGTGGTTCCGGGACATAAGGATGCAGACCTGTCCTTATAGCTCATATCCTACGTCCAACCATAGTGGTGCTTTCATCTTTTCAGAATAAATCAATTACCCATCTCAACTAGTCATGATACATATGATAAGAGTACATAGAACATCTGTTTTGTTTTTGTATTTTACCCCCTTTTTCTCCCCAATTTCGATCTTGTCTCATCGCTGCAACTCCCCAAAGCGCTCAGGAGGCGAAGGTCGAGTCATGCGTTCTCCGAAACATGTCCCGCCTTACCGCGCTTCTTAACACCAGCCCGCTTAACCTGGAAGCCAGCCGCACCAATGTGTCGGAGGAAACACCATTCAGCTGACGACCGAGGTCAGCCTGCTGGCGCCCGGCCCACCACAAGGAGTTGCTAGAGCGCGATGAGGCAAGTAAAGCCCCCCGGCCAAACCCTCCCCTAACCCGGACTACGCTGGGCCAATTGTGCGCCGCCCTATGGGACTCCCGTTTACGGCCGGTTGTGATACCTCTAGCACTGCGATGCAGTGCCTTAGACCGCTGCGCCACTCGGGAGGCCCTAGGATTTTCATTTTTGAAGACAAAAAAAAGATCACCAGGAATTCAGCTAAAATTTTGATTAATTTAGGAAATTTGTTCCCAAGTATTCCCACAAATAAAAAAAGAGACATGTGATCGTGTCTCAATGTAATCAAGGTTTGAAATGATAGTTATTTTCTTTTGGGGCTTAGTTGTGGTCAATTTGCAGAGTACAAATTATTATAATTATGTTCCATCCACTCACCCCTGTCATACATCAATCTGGGGTTCTATCAGTGACACCCTCTTACCTTGCCCAGGGTGGTGTACTCCACTGCAATCTCACTGAGGAAGAAGTACACATAATTCCCATACTCGATCGCATGGTGGAAATGGGGCTCTGGGGAGGCAAGGAGACACACACAGGAGAAAAGTGAGAGTTGAGATTGAATTAAAGTCATTATGGTGAGTCATAATTTTCTGGGGTGTATCTGTATCTACCAGAGATGGAGTCACTGCTGTTCAGGCATTTGCTCCAACCATAACACCTGATTCTACTAATTAAGGACTTGATGACGCATTTATTAGTTGAATCGGGTGTCTCGGTACTGGGCTGAAAGAGCTACACATCCCCAACCAGGACACTGATAGACACAAAAGTCATATGACCAACCTCGGAGCCACTTGGAGTCGTACTTGACAGTCCGCAGGACGGGGCTGTCGTCGCCAAGACTACGGTAGATGACAGCGTCGCTGGCCAAGAAATCGGTCATGGTGGCAGAGTAGAAATCACCGCCTGAAAAATAAAGTAAGTATAGAAAATATAGTAATTAATAAGTAAGATAGTATAGTAGTAATACAGCAAGTCATAGTAAGATAATATCATTAATATGGTTAAGCTTTATATAAAGAGAAGTTAATGTCATATCTATTTACCAATTCATATGAAACACATCTTAAATAATGCTATAAAAATGCTCAACTGATCAAGCTAATATTTATTATAAGCTAGGTACAGACTTTTATGACTAATAGATTTAGCCATAAGACTTCCATCTAGACCTGCCTAAAAGCTCTTACATTCAGCCTTTGGAATACATTTTATTGCTAATGGACTATGGGCAGAACAATTTACATTTCAAATTCTACATTTACAAATTGAGCCACTCACCAGCAAAGAGGCCGAGGTTGGATTGGCCCGACTCGAAGGGACAGCGCGCCTGACCCACCACCTCTTCGCCAACCTGCTCCAGGGTGGTCATCTGTGGGAACGAGAGGAGACTGTTAGTTCTCTGTCACCATTATGGCTCTGGGCATGGACTGAAACCAGCACTGCACGAACACCTTAACCCCTATACCTCCGCTGCAACATTAGCTGAATTGCTAACACAGCCATTCCTATTGCTAGCACGGCTGTGGACGTTTAGCCCCTCGCTAGCGCTCATAAATTACCTGGCTGCCTCTCCAGTCCCTCTTGGGACAATCTCCTATTTGTGGCTAAGCAGGAGTTGGACTCCCTGCTCCCACACAGATTCACACACACACACACACACACACACACACACACACACACACACACACACACACGAGTGCTAGGAAAAACAAAACAACATCTGTCTGGGTGGCTTCACCTCACTCTGCCTTCAATGAGCTCCAATTACTTGTCGTTTCTAATGCTAAATGACAAGTCATCTTTCTTGCCTTTTCAACATAACTTCACACTATTGTATGTATGCAAATTGTATTGGTAATTGTATTGAATGTGAAAAACAGGTGAATTTGCAATGTCATATGGACTTTTATTCAATTTTGAGTCATGAGTGAACAAACCGACTGCTCTGGAAGCAATTATACCTTGTCAATGCAAGAGGATTGAACACACAAAAGGCTTAGCACTCAAGAGTGAATAAAGACTGAAATTGTGGCATTGTGATAATGACTAGCTCGTTGTCTCTGCATGTCCGCCAATCAGCAATCACAGCTTTCTAATTGGGGTGACATTAACAAATGTAAAATCATGGCTCTCTCGAATCTAAAGGTTTAATGAAAGAAATGAACAGCACACATCAACACCTAGACTCACACACACGCATATACCTTGTAGTTGCGGCAGGTGGGGTTGAAGGCATTAGTGCCGCAAGCAAACAGGGTCTCATCGTTCCGCGGTACCAGCACTTTGACATAGTTGTAGCACTCATCCTGGAAAAACACACAGGCTCATTCAGTATCATTGGGAACTCATGCACTATAGATACAGTTGGAATAAGAACAGGCGGCCATATTAAAATAGCACTGATGCATTACTAGATATCACAAGAGCATTACGGAGCCTTTGAATTACGTTACAGGGTGCACTTATGTTGCTAGGGAGAGTCGATTCTACCATTGAAGAACATATGTAACTCTCTGTTGTTGTTTTTATCGCACTTCTTTGCTTTATCTTGGCCAGGTCGCAGTTGTAAATGAGAACTTGTTCTCAACTGGCTTACCTGGTTAAATAAAGGTGAAATAAAATAATAAATAAATAAATAAATAAATAAAGCGGTAGCTAGTGTGTTCTCTCCTGACCTTAAAGTAGACACACATAGAACATGGTGTAGATAGACACTCACACTGTTTTTACCCCTCACGGTACACTTGGCCACATCCTTGGACCTCCATGTCAGCTTCTGCAATACATGAAAGGGGGGAAACAGAATATGACACCACACCATGCTCTAGACCAGGGGTGTCGAACTCATTTTGCCCCGGGGGCCGCATTCGGTCTTCAATAAGGTCTGGAGGGCCCCATTGAAAATTGGTTATACTTCCTCGCCGTCAATTTGCAAAAAATAGTACTTTATTGTATGAATGTAGGTCCATTATAATTTCTACACAGTTTCGATTAGATTTTAGTCATTTTAAAGTATTAAAAAATATATATACACTGCTCAAAAAAATAAAGGGAACACTTAAACAACACAATGTAACTCCAAAGTCAATCACACTTCTGTGAAATCAAACTGTCCACTTAGGAAGCAACACTGATTGACAATACATTTCACATGCTGTTGTGCAAATGGAATAGACAACAGGTGGAAATTATAGGCAATTAGCAAGACACCCCCAATAAAGGACTGGTTTTGCAGGTGGTGACCACAGACCGCTTCTCAGTTCCTATGCTTCCTGGCTGATGTTTTGGTCACTTTTGAATGCTGGCGGTGCTTTCACTCTAGTGGTAGCATGAGACGGAGTCTACAACCCACACAAGTGGCTCAGGTAGTGCAGCTCATCCAGGATGGCACATCAATGCGAGCTGTGGCAAGAAGGTTTGCTGTGTCTGTCAGCGTAGTGTCCAGAGCATGGAGGCGCTACCAGGAGACAGGCCAGTACATCAGGAGACGTGGAGGAGGTCGTAGGAGGGCAACAACCCAGCAGCAGGACTGCTACCTCCACCTTTGTGCAAGGAGGAGCAGGAGGAGCACTGCCAGAGCCCTGCAAAATGACCTCCAGCAGGCCACAAATGTGCATGTGTCTGCTCAAACGGTCAGAAACAGACTCCATGAGGGTGGTATGAGGGCCCGACGTCCACAGGTGGGGGTTGTGCTTACAGCCCAACACCGTGCAGGACGTTTGGCATTTGCCAGAGAAGACCAAGATTGGCAAATTCGCCACTGGCGCCCTGTGCTCTTCACAGATGAAAGCAGGTTCACACTGAGCACATGTGACAGACGTGACAGAGTCTGGAGACGCTGAGGAGAACGTTCTGCTGCCTGCAACATCCTCCAGCATGACCGGTTTGGCGGTGGGTCAGTCATGGTGTGGGGTGGCATTTCTTTGGGGGGTCGCACAGCCCTCCATGTGCTCGCCAGAGGTAGCCTGACTGCCATTAGGTACCGAGATGAGATCCTCAGACCCCTTGTGAGACCATATGCTGGTGCGGTTGGCCCTGGGTTCCTCCTAATGCAAGACAATGCTAGACCTCATGTGGCTGGAGTGTGTCAGCAGTTCCTGCAAGAGGAAGGCATTGATGCTATGGACTGGCCCGCCCGTTCCCCAGACCTGAATCCAATTGAGCACATCTGGGACATCATGTCTCGCTCCATCCACCAACGCCACGTTGCACCACAGACTGTCCAGGAGTTGGCGGATGCTTTAGTCCAGGTCTGGGAGGAGATCCGCCACCTCATCAGGAGCATGCCCAGGCGTTGTAGGGAGGTCATACAGGCACGTGGAGGCCACACACACTACTGAGCCTCATTTTGACTTGTTTTAAGGACATTACATCAAAGTTGGATCAGCCTGGAGTGTGGTTTTCCACTTTAATTTTGAGGGTGACTCCAAATCCAGACCTCCATGGGTCGATAAATTTGATTTCCATTGATAATTTGTGTGATTTTGTTGTCAGCACATTCAACTATGTAAAGAAAAAAGTAATTAATAAGATTATTTCATTCAATCAGATCTAGGATGTGTTATTTTAGTGTTCCCTTTATTTTTTTGAGCAGTATATATATATATATATATATATATACACATACACAGTGAGTGAAAAAAGTATTTGATCCCCTGCTGATTTTGTACGTTTGCCCACTGACAAAGACATGATCAGTCTATAATTTTAATGGTAGGTGTATTTGAACAGTGAGAGACAGAATAACAACAAAATAATCCAGAAAAACACATGTCAGAAATGTTATAAATTGATTTGCATTTTAACGAGGGAAACAAGTATTTGACCCCTCTGCAAAACATGACTTAGTACTTGGTGGCAAAACCCTTGTTGGCAATCACAGAGGTCAGACATTTCTTGTAGTTGGCCACCAGGTTTGCACAAAAATATATTTGGATTTATTTAACACTTTTTTGGTTACTACATGATTCCATATGTGTTATTTCATAGTTTTGATGTCTTCACTATTATTCTACAATGTAAAAAATATTAAAAATAAAGAAAAACCCTTGAATGAGTAGGTGTGTCCAAACTTTTGACTGGTAGTGTATATATATCTATTTTACTCAAACCACCCACGGGCCGGATTGGACCCCCAAATGCCGGATCCGGCCCGCGGGCCGTATGTTTGACACCCCTGCTCTAGAGCAAGCACCACCACACCACACACAGAGTTACATGAAAGAGCCTGATACAATCGCAGAGTGTGTTCGTGTGGCCATAACCGTCAGAGGCCTCTCTGTGACCTTTGGGTGATCTTTGGGTCTACCTGCTGAGAGCTTCGCTTGACTTCGCCACCCCATCAGGAGCAGTTATTTCTGGGAAGCTGATATGAAAAGGGGTTTTTGGGTATAATTACTGGACCCCTGCCATATTGGGGTTACGCTCGAGAGTCCTCCACTGTGGGGGAGCAGCCAAGCTAAGGGCCATTGCTTGCAGGCTAGTCCATTAGTGAGGAAAACTCAGTAGAGGCCAGGCTATGGTACTTCTAAAAACAAATATAATTCATATTGCAAATAAATTATGGGTACTTCTGTGTTTAGAAGATAAAAAGCAGATCAAAAGTGTGCAGTAATAAACCACATGGCCATGTTAGTTCCTGTTTTTTTTAAATGTTATATTCCATCTTGCATAGCCATGTGAGGTTTGATTGAGTGTTTGATTATGTAACTTACCAGATGGGGGACGAAGTCGTCATCAGCTGTGGTCAGGTTTACTGCAAAAACATGGTCCCTGTGGGGTAAAGATAAAGATTTAGTGTCACGGTATTCTGTGCACAGTCTCATAAATAAAAGCAAACTAAGGGTTGGTTTCCCGGATTCTCCATTGAAAAAGCTTCAGCGTCCGGGAAACAGACCCTAGTTTGGTCAGTCTGGTTGTGATGTTTTATTGGTTGTGACTGTAAACATGTGGACCAGAACGGAGACAGTGGATTGGCTGACTGACCTGGCAGCGATGTAGAGCATGTGGTTGATCCTCAGCATCCTCTGGAAGTCCAGGCCTAGTCTGAATGTTTCATTGTCCGACACCAGCCCCTGGAACCCTGGGTACAGGTAGGAGTCTACAAAAAGAGAGAGATGAAAAAGATAAGAATAGCTGAATTATCACATACATTTCAAGATTTTTCCAATTCATGACCCCAACTCCTAGACAGCTCACAGCTATACGGAAATTACTACTATCTCAAGTTGTCATTCATAATTGGTAATCCTGCTTGGTCCTGACAGGCCTCATTTTGGTGTTTAAATCTTTAATTACGTAGTATTTGTTAGATTTTTAGTTGCTAGTGGCAATAAATGGATACACTGTAGGTTTGCAGTCGCTAAACTAAACCAATCACTCTCTGGTCAGACACTCTCCCATTCTAGTCATGTCCTGTTCTTCCTGTGGACTGTATCCAGGTTCAGGAGGCCTGGCTTGTTTCTAAAAGGTCAGACTAGGGGGAAGTTAATGAACAGAAACCTCTGCTAGCTCTTCTGCTCTAGCTGTCTGTGTCCAGTCCTGGGTCTTGTTCATTAAGGCACGCAAGAGAAAACATGAGAGTTTCTTATTGGACAAATCCCTGTTTTTATTATTTCGTTTGGCGCCTACTGAACACAACCCTGTTGAAGGTTAAATAGAGGTTTGATAGAGCCATAGTTTGGGCTTGGGATGAGTGAGCTAAGATGAAGTGTCTGCTATTGTAGTTTTGTCGTAAGCAATTTGCATAATGGCAATTATTAGAGCATATACTGTTGCCATACGATTAAACTCAATTCATCTGCCGAAAGGCTTTGTTTGGACAATACAACAGCAAATATGATGACTAGGCAAAAGTGTTCATTAAATGATAAGACTGTTGGTGTTTTGTCGACGGCAAAGACGGCGTCAGCTCGCAACATGCAGAGTGATGAGCAGAATATCCTCTAACACTAAACAAAATGCCCTTGAAGTCCACTCTCGCAGTTAGTATAGGTAGGTCTGATGGTGTCGTTTCCACTGTCCGATATGTCAGGAGATATATCCGTAATCAATCTGTTTCAAGGTTTGTTACCTACTACTACCGGTAACACATTGTAAACGCCCTCTCATTCTTTTCCTCCTTCTCTTTCCGAGATTCAAAGCTGTTGACCTCGCAAACCAACTCCCATTTAATGCCACAATGCCTCAGCGAAACTTTCTCCTTCGCCACTCTTTATCCCCCTTTCTCACACCAATAATGTATAAAACCTGTCCTGCTCATAAACTGTCATGTAAGCCATACCTCCTGGAGCCGATAGACCCACATATAGTTAGAGAACTGTGGGAAAACTGTGCCCAACACCCACTCAGAAATCAATGATGGCCATTTTGAGTGTACATCTCTGTACTTAATCTAACCTTGTGTTCCATTTGCACAATACCATTTATCCACACTCATCTCCTGTGCAGTCCAACTCTACAGCCTGACTTCCTGACTTTGGTTCATCAATGTCTTAACAAGGTAGCATTAGGGCTCTGAGCCAGCCTTAGGCAACGCAAATAGAGTATCTGTTTCCTTGCGTGCTGCTGGAGACAAATACCACAGCAATCTTCCTCCCTTAACGCAGTGGTAGATTTATATGTCACATCATATTAGTGCACTCTAACTACCAGTCCCGTGCTACTAAATTAATCCCCTTATATCACAGAGGGAAAATATGCAACATGGCACCACTTGGCCTTTTAAAATCACTCTAAGCCAAATCAGGGGGCTGGTGGGGCTACTCACGCTCCCATCTGACAACGTTGATTGGCTCCAGGTCCTTGGGGAAAGGTGTGGCCGTGGCAGAGGTGGACAGTAGACAGGAAGTGAGTGTGAGGGCTGCCAGCAGGAGGCGCCACCTCGTCCGTTCCGGAGGGACCATCTTCAATGAGGAGAAGGGGGGCGGGTGGGTAGCAGCAAGGGGGGCTTCAGCAAGTCATGGTGTGGGGCTCAGATCCACAGGAGCACTGTCTTTGGAGGGAAAGATGGAGGAAGAAGAGAGGAATTCAGTTCAGTCGAATGAAAAGGGGTCATAGAATACAAACAAATGTTGTTTGACTATACATGATGAAAACGTTCAGTCAAATCTGTAATTGCTCAATTTAGGACATTTTCTCAATTGGCTAGTGGTATTCACAAATTCATAGACATGATATAAAGAACTCACTGAGGAATCGGTCTATTAATTGAATGATATAATTTCAGGACAAAATATGCATTTTTAGCTTGCATTATCTAAGCAAAATGCTACAATTATGATTCATCATAGCCTAATGGCATCTAAAGGTAACACAGGAGCTCAAATCTGTGAGAATAACTAAATATATTCATCATAAAAATGTGGAAAGTAATGCACAAAAATAAATCTCACAGGACAATTGATTCATGTGATTGTGTCTATGTTCTGGTCTATCAACTCATGACACCGGCAGCAGTCCAGAACTCGTCAAACTAAACTAAATGTTAACACTAATAAGTTAAAAAAAAAAATCCAAGGTCACACTGACGCCAGGCTGTTTTGGTCAGAAATATTAATGATCGACTTCAGGCTGTCTGCTTTGGTTGAAACAATATCAATGAGTAACGAACAGTTCGGGCTGGAATCCAGATGGTCTTAACAGCTGCTAATGTCAACATCTGCCTCTTCGAGTGCCAACATACTAACACACACAGCAAGAGTGATGGTGGGAAAGGTAATTCTGTCAGAGATACAGTCCAATGGACCACAGAGATGCGTTCATCTACATTTTTCATCTACATAGTTTCATTGAAGTTGTTTGACTCATTTTATAATGTTCCACATTAAAAAACCAAATGGATTGCACAGAGCAAGATACACATTTTCTACAATTACTAGAGTAACATGCTTGGGTAACATCCTCATTCTCTGACTCTTTCGTGAGGAATGCTTGGAGGAATGCTGCTAGCAAGAGGAAATGCATCCTGAAGTTAGACCTGACTCTACACACGCTAGAGACAGGACGTTAGCATGCCGCACTAACTACCTACCCTCCCAAAGTCAACAAACAACAGGAGCACTCGCCATCAATATCAATTAGCCTACGCCATTCTCGTTTAGATTCCGAGCAGGTGTGGTGCTTAGCCGCGAGGTCAGCCAGTCATGGCCCCCCGCTATAAATTATAAGGATTAGCATCTAGTCGTGTTTACAGTGTGGCTCGCTGGTAGCCTCTCTACTCTAAATGATTACACCCACTCAGACACAAAATACCTACTGCTCCACTACTGTCAGACTGTAGAGGAAGTAATGGATGATGAGTCAACCTGAGTTGTCATTCAATCGATGTTTGGAGGAAGTAACATGGGAAAGTAAGTCTGAGGTAATTTTTGTGATCACAGTAAACAAAGAGCAGAAGTGTTCAAAACTTCCCCCACTGACTAGCATAATCAGTATGATACATCACAGGTATTGTAGTAACTGTACAGTGGATGGAATGTTGGTTTCCAGACCAATATCATAGAACAAAAGAAAACAATGTTGTATATTTCTTCTGGGCAAGCCAAGGTCATATAGTATGACTGTGTGAGCTAAGGCCCAGCTGCTTTCAGTCCACCTTCAGCTGACCTCACCAGCGACTTGAGGAGTTAAAAGTGAGAACATACATTCCCATCTTCTCCAATAGAGTGGTTGTTACTGCGCTGCTAAGAGCTCCCAGCTGGGAGACAAAGACCCCTGAGATGAAAACTCACTCTAGCTCTTCAACTGGTTCTCTATTGTGGTGGCGCCTGCCTGGGTTGTGGCAGTCACAACTGTGGGGAGATATTGTTGTCAAGAGGCAAAAGATCAGAAGTATTGTATGAAACCGCAACAGGAGACGACTGAAGCCATCTTGGATTGATTTAAGAGGTTTGCTTCTGTTTGCTATGCTAAGTGTTCTACATGTATAAAGACCTGTCACCAGAGATGAACAATCAATCAAAAGTTTAGTATTTGGTCCCATATTCCTAGCACGCAATGACTACATCAACCTTGTTACTCTACAAACCCGTTGGATGCATTTGCAGTTTGTTTTGGTTGTGTTTTGGGTTGTTTTCCCCAATAGTAACTCTCATCCAACGAGTTTGTAGAGTCACAAGCTTGATGTATTCATTGCGTGCTAGGAATATGGGACCAAATACTAAACTTTTGACTACTTTAATACACTAAGCAAATTTGTTCAAATACTTATGACTTCCTCAAATGGGGGGACTATATATACAAAAGTATGTGAACACCCCTTCAAATTAGTGGATTCGGCTGTTTCAGCCACAACTGATGTTTTTAATGGTTCGGGCTAGGCCCCTTAGTTCCAGTGAAGGGAAATCTTAACACTACAGCATAACATGATATTCTAGACGATTCTGTGCTTCAAACTTTGTGGCAACAGTTTGGGAAGGCCCTTTCCTGTTTCAGCATGACAATGCCCCCGTGCACAAAGCGAGGTCCATACAGATATGGTTTGTCGAGATCTGTGTGGAAGAACTTGGCCTGCACAGAGCCCTGACCTCAACCCCATCGAACACCTTTGGGATGAACAGGAACGCCGACTGCGAGCCAGGCCTAATCGTCCAACATCAGTGCCCGACCTCACTAATGAATGGAAGCAAGTCACCGCAGCAATGTTCCAACATCTAGTGGAAAGCCTTCCCAGAAGAGTGGAGGCTGTTATAGCAGCAAAGGGGGGAACAACACCATATTAATGCCCATGATTTAGGAATGAGATGTTCAACGAGCTGATGTCCACATACTTTTGGTCATGTAATGTACATAAAGTGCTTTCATTCCTAAACAGTAAAACAGATATGTATGAAAATAACCTAAAATAAAAGGTGACATACCATCGCCTTGTATGAAACATTTGATCTCAAATCCAAAATGCTGGAGTATAAAGTCACATTTTTAGCTTCACTGTACAAATGCATTTGGAGGGGAGTGTAACTTGAGGTTCTTCTGTTCAAGCAAGAAGTTAGCTCCCATATGTGGAAAGGAGACCAACTGCAGGAATGAACTATAAAGCAAAATCCCGGAAGGATGTGCAGGCTTTAAAAAGGAAGAGGAGATCTAGCTCTCCCCCTGAAATTCCACCCGAGGTAACCCTACCGCTCAACTTCTCAACCCTCTCACTGCGGTCAACAGTGCACACCAGGGGTTTTGGAGCAATCGGGAAAACCCCACTTAAGCTGAGACTGATTATGGTCCATGAAAATCACTCTGCACGTGTCCACCAGCTTCACAATTACCTAAACACATAACCTCTTATGTACTTCATAGTTTCAAAACATCCTCTGCACTTTTGGTTTGTGTCAATGCAAGGGAATGTGGATCCTCAAACAGTGTCATTTCTTTCGAGGGACCAGTCCAACTTGTTTTCAGTCTTTTTTATTTTTACAAGGACTGTACTCTCTGCTCTGTGAAAAAAACGATGGAATCGGGGGAATAAATAAAGGATTGTTTCCCGCAGACTAAAACGGTGCCTTGGTTAAAAAGGGTTACAATGACCCACAGCCAAACAGTCTCCGATCTACACACCACAACACGGGTCGCTGCCCTCATGTTTGTTATTAGATCTAGAGACTTTAGAGTTTAGTGAATTGCTTCATTTCCTCTCATTTGCGAACCATATTACTGCCAAGGCTGAGGGTTACCCTCGGTTTGAAGTCAAAGGCAAAAATTATAGTAGGGGAGGGCATCATGTGACCACACTACATGAAGGAGTCCGGCAAAAACAAAGAAACTTTTTTCCGGTACAGGCAGTCTTCCTATTTGACTAGCTCGCCAACAGTGGGTGTGTGTCATTCCATCCAACATTAGATTACTCCCTACTATGACAACCAATGTTCATTCACACATACTTACTTCACTGTTATTCATTCATCAGCTACAGTTTTTCAATGCAAACACTACAAAACCAAGCTAGCGTAAACACAGCACCTCAGGACATGCAATGCTATCTATACCTTGAGGGTCCACAATGAGATTCTGTAAGCACAACACCAAGACTAACTCTTCACTGCTTGAGTGGACTCAGGCGGGCTTGAAAAAAGCCTCTTGTAATAAAATGTCTGGGACCTCTGGGCTGTAGTGAGTTGAGGGGGTGAAAGGTTCTTACAATGCAGGAGCAAAGGAAGGAGAAAGGGGGGCTTTGCCACTCTATTGGCTTAAAGACCTTGGGGAAAAGCTATATGCGTAAATAAGGTCAATCTTACATCTGATTTGTGGTGATCAGGGCTTAAGTACGTAATCTTAAGTGGGAGAGGGCCAGCCTGAGGGTACTGTAAACAGAATACCTGTCACTATCACTGCTTGGAAAGACCACCTTGAGGCTTAACGTGATCATTGGCCTTCAATCATTGGCCAATCTGCAGTTTATGTGTTGACTTATTTTAATGCTATCAAGGCCTAACTGCTCCTTATCTTTTAGTCACAAAGCCTGTCGCCCAAGCCTAGCTTATACGTACGGTCAATCGAGAGCAGGGGTTGGAACCTACATTATTTTCCAATAGTTTCGTTCTTTTTTTTTTTTGTTCCACTGTTCCGATCAGCAAAATAAAGTTCTGAACAGGCCCAAACCCCCAAAAAGTAACAGTTTATTTATATAGTTCCTTTCTGTTCGTTTTAAAACCTCTGAAATCATTTTTTTTTTTACATTAAGCTCAACATTACATTTCTTCACCAATCAGCGCGGATAGACAGCTTGCTATGGAGCGGGCAAGCTATAGCCTAGTTGTTTATATGCGTGATGGACAGACAAGTGTACGCCGCAAGACGTGACTGAAATGTTGCGGGTGGGTAGAGAGCGAGAGAGGATGGATGAGGAGGCTTAGCTTGAAGTGTTGGGCATCTTGTTATGACATGCATTATCTAAATTAGGCCAACAGAATTATACCTACGGAGGAGCGGCTTCTATGGAGGAACTTTGAATGCGTCTTAGCTTTTCGTAGTTAATAAATCCAATGTGAAACGTGATAACTATATTATCCTTACCTAGCATTGAAAAAGTCAATCCATTCTTCTCTAATTAAAAATCTAATTTCTGAATCACGCTTGTAACGT